GTGTTCCAGGGAAGTGGTTCCATGGAAGTGTGGAAAACTCTCTCTCCTGGGTGAATCCCATGGAGATTTTGAAACATTTGGGCCTCTATTGAGGTCTCTTTTGATTCAGGCTTCAATTGTGAATAACACAAACAAATTTCAAGTATTTTTTTCCAAATTTTTCCACAAAAAACCAAAAAAATTGTGTCAAAGAAGTTTGTTATAACGGAATTCCCAAGTTTGTTATAACGAGATTTTTTTAACATGTAGTCTATAGGCTTTCTGCCGGGACTTGAAAAAAAGTTTGTTGTATTGAAAAATTTGTTGTAACGGTATTTGTTGTAACAAGATTTTACTGTATTACACAAAATGTAGGAAAATTTGTGCTGAAAATAGCATGAGATTTTAATTTTTTCTGGCCTGAAAAAGATTCACCAACTTGTGACATGAGTGGACAACTCTCACTGTAACTGAAGAGTTTTCACTTATCATCATGCATTAAATCTGAAAATATTTATAAAAATCTGAAAAAATCCCAGAACCTCACAATAGCATGGGCAACATCATATGTATACATACTTTTTTACAATTTTACCTACCCTATAAATAACCACAGTCAATCTGAATTGGGACAACCCTCCTATGTGTTGTAAGAGGAAGTGAAAGACTAATTGGGCAAATGAACCCTTGCCTCAAAGTTTAGCATGCTGTCAACTTATTTAAAAATCAATTTAAAACCTTTCATATCATCATTTACAATTTCATGTGATTTTTCTTTCTTTTCCACAATGATAAAAAATGCGTTTTTCCCTGACTGAAAACATCCATAACTCAAAATTTTTTCTGGTCCCTTGAAGTGAGACTTGAAGAGATTTGATTGTAAATGTCCATGTACTGTATTTTGTCCTCATCACTTTTAAAATGTGGGGATAATCTTGAAGCTTTTTTTTCTAAGTACCAATGCCTTTGTTGTCAAGAGATTTTGCTGCATGCTCATTCAAGAAGCAATTCATGACCTAGCTATAATATAACAAAATACAATTTCCTGTCATTCTTTTCTGAAAAATGTAATTGTTACTCTCAAAATTGTGTAATTAATTTTTCCCTGTAATTCTTCCTTCAAAAAAATTCTTGTTTCCTGGACTGCTGCAAAAACCTCCCTGACTCGATTTTTTGTTGTATTGAAGCTTGATTCAAAGAGGTTCAGCTGTATTTCATAATAGGTGACTTGCAATTATCATCTTCACCATCATCATTATTATTTTTGTTTCCAAATTAATTTGCATTTATCTTCAGGCGACTGCTTTGGAGCCGGATCTGCAGGTGATGCCAGACGGAGATTTGACGGACGTTGGCGACGCTGGCGACACTTTGTCCGGGGGCCAACGGCAAAGAATAGCCCTCGCACGTGCTTTGTATTCCACTGCCCCGATTCTCTTGCTGGACAATCCCTTGTCGTCTCTGGATCCCCAAGTGGCTCTCAAGGTGTTCAACAGGGCACTGGTCAGCTATTTGGCCAAGCAAAAGCGAACGACTGTCATGGTCACGCATCGTCTGCAGTTTCTGCCCAGTGCGGATTACATCATCGCTCTGGAAAAGGGCCGTGTCGTGGCTGAAGGTGACTTAAGTTTTATTTTTTTTCTGTCAATTGAATATTTTTTGACGAGTTACAGTGAGACCCCCAGATGCAGATGTAATTGGTGCATCAAGAGTGTCCCCAAGTCAAAATGTCCCTAAGTTGAGTCTTGTTTTCCTGTAGACTTACATTATATAACTTATAATTGGTGTTTTATCTTTTATGGAAAAAAATTGTTGCCAATTGAATTTGATTCAGTGAATATATTTTCAACTCAATAAGAACATTTGGAGCATTGAATAGTGTACCTGTGTACAGTACATTACAATTTTGGCATCTGTAAAAATAACATACAAGTCACAAAGAGAGAAGGAAGTCCCTCATCTATGCTACTGGTAACTTTTTTTAATTAGCTGAATGGATGGGAAAATGATGGGAGGAATACCAAAGAATTTTTCTTGCATAGATCTTAGCTTTGAAAGTATATGTTTCTTGCAATTAAGCCTAATAAAAGTCAATATTTCCCAGAATTTATTGGCAATCTTGTCACGCAATGTCCACATGTCAAGTCAGTGTCCATATGTTAGGCCTTTTTATGCCTTTTTTATTGAAAAATAAATGTCCCTATGTTGAATTTTTGGCATGTTGACATGTCTGCACGTGGGGGTCTCACTGTATATTTGTGTTTTCTGGTTATGGGACAACTTTTTCTCTGTGAGGACAAATCATGAGGGAGTTACACACCAAATGGGACAATTAGATGATTTCTATGATTTTAGAAATTTTTTAATGGGACAACCAGGTTTTCATATCCACAATTTTTACTGCAAGATTTAAATGAATCCTTATGAAAGCATCTTTGGAAATTATTCCAATGCTAGATTGTTTTAAAATAGCAGGAAAACTGATTGAGAAATTATTGTATGATGGGAACAGTCAATTTATGATAGCAAAGACAAATAAACTCACAGATTGTCAATATTTCATAAATATAAGAACACATAAATTTGAGTTTAGACATGAATTGAACCTGAATTTCATAAATTTTCAATTTTTTCCCTAAAAATAAAATTTTCTGATAAAATTTGTCCAAAATACTGTTCACCATTTGGACCAACAAGTATAATGCACACCTACACTTTTAAAATTTGTAAAAAAAGTGTGTACCCGCCTGTGATGTGATTGAAATTGAGTGAAAGTTTTTCTCTCAATTTTGAGAAAATAGTTGCCTTTTCTTAACTTAGATAAAAAGAAATGCGTGTTGTTTGAGTAAATCATGATACTCAGCTGTGAGAAATATGATTTTTGTAAATTTTTCTGTGTTGCTCCCAAGATTTGCAGCCTTTATAGAATGCTTACTCATTCACTGTACAATAACTTCTTGGAAACTTTATGTAATGGATCCTGTTCTGAACTGGTGAGAAGGTCTGCGGAAAATTCAATGTGACATAGTTTCAAGGCTATATATGATTCTGTGCTTTAAAAATTCTGCTTTTGTGAGCAGCTGTCAGAATTTCTCATTGTCTCACGATGCTTCTGCAGCCCACTGCAAAAAATGTCCCAAATATTCTGGAATCTTTTTTACAATTCAACTTTCCCACTCAAACCTCCATGATTCGAATTTCAAGGAGGCCTTGTGGCTATTACTTCATTGAAGCAGGAAAGAGAAAAGCAATAAAAAGGTAACTTAATGTGTTTTTAAAGGAAATGAAGGACTAATTGGGCAAGTGAGCCCTTGCCTCCAATTTCACCATCCTGTCAACTCATTTAAAAAGAAATTTAAGGCCTGTAATATAATCTTTTAGAATTTCATGTGTTTTTTCTTTTTTTTCCACAATCATAAAAATGCTTTTTTCCCTGACTGAAAACATCCATGACTCAAATAAAAAATACGACCAGGGAACTTCACTCTGAACTCTAAACTAACATTTACGGGTACATGACATATAACAGGAGTCGTGCAATTCCTACCCCTATAAGAATGTGTAAAAAAAGGTTCATGGTTACGGATTGTTGTCAAGAGATTTTACTGTACATTGCCCAGTACAGTATATGCTGTATGCACATTAGGATAATATTGCTGAGGAATTAAAGTCAATGTATCTACTTTCCATCAGGTACTTACCAGCACATATCCGAACAGAAACCCGCCTTGTTCAGTGAGTGGAAACGGCGAATTCTGATGGAGGAAGAGGAAGTGCGGAAACGGGAGCAGGAAGCTAATTTGGCGCGAGAAAGATGGCGGCTGTTGCGAGTGGCCACGAAATTCGGCATGAGGCGTTCCGTCAGGTCTCGTCATTCATCCTTGAATAAATCCCCTGGTCTGGGACAGAGTTCCGGAAGTGCAGTTCCGTCTAGTTTCTGGGTTTGTAGAATTTTGCGCGTGTTTCTACTCCTCAGCTCAGATGATGCGCCAAATTTGGTATCGCGAAAAATAAAGAAGCCAATAGCAAATATCCCCGGACGGGGAATTTATTTGAAAGAAGAATTCGCCTGAGGTTTGATCTTACATAAAGTCAAAAATATCTTCAAGTTTAACTTGAAGAGGCCAGCAAAAAGTTCAAGTTGGAGAAACAAGGAATTTCGTTGGGGGAAAGAAATTAAAATTGAAGGACATTTTGTTTGGTTATAATCTGGGCCTTAAATTGCTTTTTAAATGAGTTGACAAGGATGCTGAACTTTGAGGTTGCCTCAAGATAAGATTGTAAATGAAGGCTGGATTGTTCTGTGAAGAAAACTGATAAGAATAAAACGCAGCTATCAGTATGGAATGAGGCTAAAAATCCCTTTAGGATTTATAATTTGAAGATCTTATACTGTATATCTATCTGAAGTTGTCCTCAGAAATATATTTAAAAAGATGCAACAAATAGATGAACTCCTTCACAGATTAACAATCTGATTGAATGCACAGCACATAGGAATGATCTGACACTGAAAAGGAAGTAGGAGTTTTTATTGATTTTTTATTTCGACCTTAAATATATAGTCTTGGATGATTCTTGTGTGTTATTTGAAGTCCTGTGATTGGCTGAGAAGCAGTAGTCAAAGATGCTGCTGAACCATGTAGTGAAATTGTGAAGATGGGATGAGATCTTCCAGTTTTCCCAGGATTGAAATATTATTGATTCAATTTATTTTGCCTCAATGAGCAAGATGCAGCAAGGTTGTCCAACAGAGGCAAGGGTTACCATATGCCAAATTAGTCCTATCAAAATGCATCAAGTTATATTTATATTGCTTTTATCTTTCATTTGTCAATAAAATAATAATAGCCAAAAGGCTTCCTGAAAATTCAAGTTGAGGAGGTTTGAGGTTGAAAGCCTTTGAGTTAGGTAAGTTTTGAATGCATTGTTTCTAAAGGAATTCTGACAGTTACTTGCAAAAAAATTTAAATATGGAGTTATTTGACTTGTGGAGGCTTGACTTATCAAGGTTCAACTGCATAAGTTCATTCCATTTGTGAATTCAAATAATAAGTATTATTTTTTTCAGTTGGAAAATGCGGAGAGCACCACAGTGGCGAATCCGTTCGCGTCCAGCAGCCACAAGCTTTATTTGAGCCGACAGGTGTCGCACGACTGCGTGTTGCCCAGTGACGAATACGAAGCTGACATGTCCTTGCATTACATGCGGCCCAAGGGGACTTTTTATACGCCTCAAGCTCTGCTGAATCAACATCACAAATTGCGAGCCATGGCCAGCATTACAAGTGCTTATGGACCAGTCGTGCCCACAGGTTGGGGTCTCTCATTTTAGTTTTTTTTTTAATATAATTTGAAAATGTCCGGAAATACGTGTACTGGACGATGACACTCTTTTGTTGCAAGAATGAGTCGCTCATCGCTTTTTTTTCTGCATGACGAAATCAACTAATGTGTATAAGAAGTGCTCAAATTCCATCCATGCTCAAGCTTTAACTTTGAATGATTTTTTTTTTTCAATTAATATATAAAAGGAAAAAGTGCATGGAGTTTTGTCTTTTTCTTTAAATCCCCAAAGATTTGTGGATTGTCAGGAAGTTGGGACTATACTGTTCTTCAATTTTATGCGAAGAAATTTCGAAACACATTTCTGTACTAGACTGTATAATCATTTGCTGAAAATTTTCAAGGATTGTTGCTGGTGATGTTTCATGTGACTGAATGGAAAGGATAATCCCTCACTCCAAAGCTTTCCAGGTCAATTTGTTTTTTAGTTACGCTTCGAATAACCTTTCTCAGTCAAATTAGCTTTATACAGGTTTTGCGTCAGAGAATTTGGCTGCACTTGCTGGTTAGCTTTATTTTCAGTGGAAATTATTTTCTGGTAAAATTATCAAAATTGTTTATAATTCATGGATGACCTAACAGAGAAAATGCCCCAATCCCTCGTGGTTTTTTTATATAGAGGAAATAGTTTGCCGTGATCTGAAATTGTATCCGAACTTGTTGAAATTGGTCTTACAATTTTTACCGTGGGAGGTTCAAGTTTCATTTGACTTGAGCGAATGTGGTAAAGATTACCTGAGCATTGAAAGTGGGGAACTGTTGTCTTGGAGTTGGTTCATAAAATTTTGGAGTCCCTTCAAATTTGGCTTCGAGATGTTCAACTGCTTTATGCAATTATTATTCTTTTTTGTACCAGTTGTTAAAGAAAGAAGTTTTTTTTTTTAATCTACCGTATTATTATTTTTTTCTGCAGGATCGCAAGCAGCTCTGCGTTCAATCCGCCAATACACCGCCAATATGAGCAGCACGGGCGGAGGCAGCATGCGACGTCATCCCCACAATTCCTCCCTCAAAACCAAGCAACCCGCGTTGTGCAAAACCCTGTCCACTCCGATTTCGCCTCTGGCTGCCGAACTCGGCACTGTGCAACACCTGGTCGTCACTGCCGGCGAGAGAACCCGGCTGCGGCCCTTCAGTGGCCCGGCCAGTGTGCATCACGCACCTGCTGCTGCCGACTACACTGTGATGGATCCTTCGTCTCGGAAGGGTTCGGGTGTGAGTGACGGGGTATTGCCGAGCAGTGCTGCTGGCGTTGTTGGGATCCCGTCATCATCACCGCCAGGGATCGGTTATAATCCTGTCCACGTGAGATGGTCGTCGTCGCGAGGAACACCGCCGCCGACTACTGCTACTGCTACTACTGCTGCTGCTGCTGCGGCTGCTTTGCAGCAGGCCATGGATATTATGCCCTTGCGACAGGGGTTGTTGTCTAGGATGATTTCCACGTTTTCTTCCAGGTGATGATGGAAACGTGATGACGTCTTGTTTATATTGTTACGGGTCGAATTTCTATGGTATTCATTGATTATATCGTTTACACTTTGAAAATTCCTTCTTGAATAAATTTATGCAAGGTCTATACAACGCGATTAAACGTCTTCATAAATACACCATTACGAACAGAGCTCAGTGTAAGAGAATGTCCTCAGCAAAATCGCAATTTTCACGAGGTCATGTTTACAATACAGGTCGAACACTTTTGATTATGATTACCGTTTCAACGAAGTTTTCTTTGTGAAAATTTTTTTCCTATGTCTAAACTCTAAACCTACGAAAAACTCAGCAAAATTGTGATTAACACGAGGTCATGTTTATAACATAGCTCGTNCTTTTGATTATGATTACCGTTTCAACGAAGTTTTCTTTGTGAAAATTTTTTTCCTATGTCTAAACTCTAAACCTACGAAAAACTCAGCAAAATTGTGATTAACACGAGGTCATGTTTATAACATAGCTCGTATTCCTTCTGTACTGATTACCGTTTTAAATAATTTTCTTTATTAAAAAAATGTTCCGAGGCCTACTAAACCTAAAAAGAAAATCTGTTTATACACGAATACTAACAGAGCCCATTATAATGAAGTCTCGAAATTTAGCAAAATCGTGATCAAAACGAGGTTATGATTATATCACAGGTCTATATTTCCTTGGTATTGAATGTCGCTCCCACAAAACTTTCTTTGTAACTAAATTTTTGAAAGGACTAAAACTTTGAAATATTTTTTACTTACTAATGCTAACAGTAAAATGTCAAATAATACTATGTCGAAACTCGGCAAAATCGATGTCAAGAAAAGGTTATATTCCTATTACAGGTCTAATTCCTTTGTATAATGATTACCGTTTTAATGAAATCGTCTGTATGACAAAATTGTTCCAAGGTCTATGAGCCTTTGAAGAATATGTTGATGCACTAATACTAACACAATTAATTATACTAAATTGTCGTAACTCAGCAAAATCGTGATTAACGCGACGGTATGTTTATGAAATAGATCTTATTCCTTTGTAATGATTACTGTTACTTCAACTTCTTCAATTTTTGTTAAGTTACTTCAATTTATTTTAAGAAAATGTTTCAAGGTCTAAATCTACCGTAAAACTATTTTTACGCACCAATATAGTGCTAACAGAGCTCAATATAATAAAGTCTCACAGCTCAGTGCAACAAATTGTTTTTTTCAATGCTTGAAAATGTAATAATTTTGTTGTTGTTCACACATCAGATCTGCTACCACTGCACCAGCGACACCTGTGCTCACCTCTGTAACACCATGGTCTGCTGTTAATTCAGATCCAACAGGATACGGAAAGATCCCTTTCGGAAAGCGGGATTCCAACATGTCTTGGCACAGTGACATCACGGGGATCACTTTGGATCCATCCGAGTGTGAGTTATTACAACTCTCGCTAATATATATTTATTTTAGAACCCGAATACGAACNTTTCAAGGTCTAAATCTACCGTAAAACTATTTTTACGCACCAATATAGTGCTAACAGAGCTCAATATAATAAAGTCTCACAGCTCAGTGCAACAAATTGTTTTTTTCAATGCTTGAAAATGTAATAATTTTGTTGTTGTTCACACATCAGATCTGCTACCACTGCACCAGCGACACCTGTGCTCACCTCTGTAACACCATGGTCTGCTGTTAATTCAGATCCAACAGGATACGGAAAGATCCCTTTCGGAAAGCGGGATTCCAACATGTCTTGGCACAGTGACATCACGGGGATCACTTTGGATCCATCCGAGTGTGAGTTATTACAACTCTCGCTAATATATATTTATTTTAGAACCCGAATACGAACGTATCTAAAATGCTATGCTTCAACGAATTTTTTTTTAGGTCCCATAAAGTTCTCTCCTCGTATCAAGAGAGTTCTCTACAATGATATTTTTCTGGTCCCTTTAATTTTCTTGTAGAGAGACAAGAGATTACACCTCTAGATCATATAGCACAGCTAGTAGAGTACTGTACACTTTTCTAACCAGTGCAAATGTGCACATTTCTCAACCCAGTTCCTAAAAACAATTTTGTTTGCATGTGTGGAAAGACACTCCCACTCAGCCAAACTCAACCTCAATGGAAATTCTCCCTCCGATAGTTTCCCAGTGTTAACTTGGAAAAATTTGCACTTGGAGTTTTTTTCCCTTGCCTAAATATTTCCTTTTCAAGGAAGAAGACAAGGTTTCCCACCTGGAACTGCTTCCTTGACTTGGTTCCTTTATCCTCATGGTCACTTCTCAGGGAGACTTGCAAACATTTGATCTAAACTTTTTTTTTAAATAACTTATTTGAAATATTTTAGTCTGACTAACTGCATTGAAATATACAGTACTGTATGGTGGATTTTATTTTTATTTATAGTATTTTATTTTTGGCTAATTTGGACAACATCACCAGGTAATTTTTTGCGGAAAAAGAAAAACAGTACTCTTGCACTGCTCAATGAAAGGGCTCCCTTGGAATTGCAGTAAAATTTGGTCATTGCAACAAAGCTTTTGGGACTAGGAAAAACGTTCATTTTGAACAAAAAACTCGTTTTAAAAGCAATCTGAAAAATATTATAGCTATATTGGTCAGGGACTTGAAAAAAACGCCGTTGTTGTAATCAACCATTCGTTATAACGGGATTCTACTGTACTGTACTGTGTATTATCATCTATTTTCTTATTTTCAGTATGTGCTGATGAAGAGGAGCTCGAAGGACTACTCTCAGAAGAAGAGAGAAAACGTGGCCGTGTGTCTGTGTCCCTATACTCCAAGTACTTGCAGGCTTGTGGACTCTGGATAGGCTTCTTGTACATCGTCACAGCATGTGCTGCTCAGGCTGCCAAAGTTGCCACTGACATCTGGTTATCTGCCTGGGCAAACAAAGAAGACAAGAAACACAGTCTTGGCGGACAGGTTAGCTTGCTTATTTTTACTGTTTTTTTGTGAACATGCTGAAATCATTGGAATTTTCAATTAGAAATCTTAAATGTAAAATAAGTACAGTATCATGAATTAAAAGGAGAACATTATTTTTTCAATCAAATGTAAGGCATGAGCGACAATATGATGTACTGAACTGTACAAGGATCAAACACAAAAAATTGGGTCACATTTTTATTTATTTGTCTTGAAGCAAAAAAATAAAAAAATGTATGTCTTAGAAATGCTAAAAAAAAATCAGGTATAGAGTAAAGGATTGAATCAATCCAGTGTTCTAAAACTGAATCCTGGAAGAAATACATGTTCTTGTAATATTCTTGGTTTAATTTTTTTCTGTTGTGATAATCTGTTATTCTGCTTGGAAACTTTGTTTTGCATGTGGATGTTGCAATTTGGCCAAAATCAAATTTTATGAAGGTATGAATACCCAATCTCTGGAGAGAAATGTCACAAACTCTTGAGGGCTTCTTGATAAATCGAATTTTAAATAAAGCAATTGCCATTCCATTGTATGGCAGTTTGTTAATCTAAAAAGGATTCACCTGTATACCTTATCTACTTCAGATATGTGCGGAATTTTCTTGCGGTCCCTCTATGAAACAAGGCGCCAAATTGGAGCCAAAACTGTAATCCAATCGGCGCATCACCGGGACGCGCCGACACAAACGAAAGTTAAAACCGATTCCCGCGAAAGGGGTATCCTAAAATAAAACGCGAAACGAATTGGCGAAACAAAGACCCCGAGGCCAAAAAAGGAGAGCGATCCCCGGAAACGGGATAAAACAAATCGCCGAAAAAGTCGGCGCCACCCNTAACTGCATTGAAATATACAGTACTGTATGGTGGATTTTATTTTTATTTATAGTATTTTATTTTTGGCTAATTTGGACAACATCACCAGGTAATTTTTTGCGGAAAAAGAAAAACAGTACTCTTGCACTGCTCAATGAAAGGGCTCCCTTGGAATTGCAGTAAAATTTGGTCATTGCAACAAAGCTTTTGGGACTAGGAAAAACGTTCATTTTGAACAAAAAACTCGTTTTAAAAGCAATCTGAAAAATATTATAGCTATATTGGTCAGGGACTTGAAAAAAACGCCGTTGTTGTAATCAACCATTCGTTATAACGGGATTCTACTGTACTGTACTGTGTATTATCATCTATTTTCTTATTTTTAGTATGTGCTGATGAAGAGGAGCTCGAAGGATTACTCTCAGAAGAAGAGAGAAAACGTGGCCGTGTGTCTGTGTCCCTGTACTCCAAGTACTTGCAGGCTTGTGGACTCTGGATAGGCTTCTTGTACATCGTCACAGCATGTGCTGCTCAGGCTGCCAAAGTTGCCACTGACATCTGGTTATCTGCCTGGGCAAACAAAGAAGACAAGAAACACAGTCTTGGCGGACAGGTTAGCTTGCTTATTTTTACTGTTTTTTTTTGAACATGCTGAAATCATTAGAATTTTCAATTAGAAATCTTAAATGTAAAAGAAGTACAATATCATGAATTAAAAGGAGAACATTATTTTTTCAATCAAATGTAAGGCATGAGCGACAATATGATGTACTGAACTGTATGTATACACTAGAATCTGTCAAGAATAAATGTGTACCAACCACAAAAATTGGGTCATATTTTTATTTTTGTCTTGAAGCAAAAAATAAGAAAAATTTATGTCTTAGAATGCTAAAAAAATCAAGTATAGAGTAAGGGATTGAATCAATCCATTATTGTTCCAAAACTGATCCTGGAAGAAATATATATTCTTGCAATCTTCTTGGTTTAATTTTTTTCTGCTATGATAATCTGTTATTCTGCTTGGAAACTTTGTTTTGCATGTGGATGTTGCGATTTGGCCAAAATAACATTTTATGAAGGTATGAATATCCAATCTCTGGAGTGAAATGTCGCAAACTCTTGAGGGCTTCTTGATAAATCGAATTTTAAATAAAGCAATTGCCATTCCATTGTATGGCAGTTTGTTACTCTAAGAAGGATTCACCTGTATACCTTATCTACTTCAGATAAATAAGTTGCAAATGGCATATGTAGATTATTTTTTCAGCCTGTATGCAAAGGAATGAGGTCAAATTGAAACTATAATTTTGTAGAAAAAGTGCAGATACTCAAAAAAGAAGAAATCAGGAATTTTCCCTCAAAACCATCATACATGTGCTGTTGAAGGAAATTCATTTTGATGAGCAAAAAGTATATAAAACAAAGTAATTATTTTGTGTGAATTAGTAAGCTGTAAATAAAATTTGAATATTCAATTTCATTTTCATCATGCATTCTTTATTGCATGATATTATGATATATATTGTATATGTGAAGCAATCATGAAAATATATTCAGATTTAATTTGGTATATACTATTTAATGGCATTTATTCTCTTTCATATTTCAGGACACGGATTATCATTTGAGAATGTACGCCATGTTGAGCTTGGTCTCCTTGATCACTGTACTGTTCACTCATCTGAGTGGACAGTTTGCTGCTCGTCATGCAAGACATTCACTGCATGCTGAGTTGCTGAGTGCTGTCCTATCTGCCCCATTGTCATTCTTTGACAGAATGCCAGTTGGCAGGATTCTCAACAGATTTGCTACTGACACTGGTATCATTGACAAGGTATGTATTACTTCAACTGCATTATTTATGGTGTACACCATGATGGTATGAAATTATTCAAAAAAAATGAATACAAAGAACTGCTCACAGTTTGACTTTATGCTAAGTTGAACCTCTGCTGAAGTCAAATATCTTATCCATTCAAATTTCAAGTGTAATAATAATAACCCTGAGCAATAATAACCCTCAAGTCCGATGTGCAGTATTTTGAAACTTTCCCACTGAAAAGTTTTTGGCTCTATATGTGACCTCATTTATTTAAATTTTCCACGGCTTTTTTTTTAAACTGCGGATGAATTTTGGAACACAGGATCCAGATACAGGTGGTACCTTGCAATTTGACTCTAATCCATTGCCAAAGTAGGGTCAAACTTCAAAGTGGTTAAGTTTGAAGGCACTTGGTTAAATTCCAAAACATTAGTAAAAAAAAATGCAAAAAAAGAGGCCAAAGCAGGTCAAATTGTGGGGCAAGGGTCCAATTACAATATGTCAACCTCCCTGCACATTTAACCATCAAATTGCAGGATGGTCATATGGTAAGGTACTATACCATTAAAAAATGCATATTACTGTATTATCTTTTCACAACAGATTATGCACCTTCCTCATGAGGACATCTGTGATTGATGAAAACATTTGATAACTAGGTAAAAAAAATCATTTCATTGATCAACCTGCGTGAATCTAGTCATATTCCTTCGATCAGAATTCTATGGATCATTCTTTTGAAATTTCTTTTGAGTTGACCTAAGAATTGTGATGTTGTCCCAATTAGAAGCGACCTCAGATTTTGTGTGATTTAAAATAATCTGACACAGCCCATGACGATCTAACATTATTGGAGTTTTTCCAACTTCAAAATTTTTTAAATTTACCTCATGATGATGAGGGAAAACTTTCCATGTTACAGCCAGAGTTCTCCACCCATTTCACAGGGTGCCAAAAATTTGCCAAGCAAGCTAAAAAATATTTTGGCTAACTTTTATAGCCAGTATCCACCGTAGAGAAGATAAAAGGTGAAACTAAAAAGTAAAATTTTTGCTGGCTTGAAAAAGTCTTTAGCACTATTTTGACATGAAGGGAAAACTCTGACTGTATAACTGGAAAGTTTTCACACATGAAATCATGCAGTAAATTGAAAAAACAAATTGGAAATACGAAAAAATCTCCAAAACCTGAGAACACCATCAGCATGGGCTATATTTATCAAAACTTATTTTTACAATCAAAATTTCTTTGGAAGCATCAGAATAAAGTCGCGCCGAACTGGGACAATCCTCGTAAATAGGTTCAACTGTATTTAGTTTGCTATAATAAGAGAGACCAGAATTTTTACACCATGTTTTCTTTATTTTTTCGCCTTATATTTTTAGGAATTGGCGCCTGGGATTCAAAGACTTTTCTACTTCGTCTTGTTGTGCCTTTCGTCCATTGTGGTGAATGCTGTTGTGGTGCCCTGGTTTCTTCTGGTTGGAGTCGTGATCTTGGTCGTTTACTATTTCTTGCAACACTTTTTCCGGGCTTCCTCGAGGTTTGTTTTGTTTCCGGACTCGGCGAGCTGTCCCTGATGGTTCCCTGTCAATTTTTTATTATTCCAATGTATGCAGAAATTCTTTGAAAATCTTTTTCTTTTTTTTGCAGGGAACTTCAGAGACTCGAGTCGCAGACTCGGTCGCCGATTTACACGTTGTTCTCGGAAACGCTGACGGGTTTGACGACCATCAGGGCTTACAAACAAGAGTCCAGGTTCATGTCGATGGCTTTGGAACGCCTGGACCTGAACAATGCGGCCTTTTTGATCAAGGAGTCTGCTCATCGATGGCTGGGCGTTGCACTCGTAGGGATTTTATTCTGAAATTTGGCCTTTTTTTGGGTCAATTACTTCCATCATTTCATTTCATATGTTCCATGGTGGAGAGATTGAAAAATTATTTTGGGTGTATATATTATAGATTTTTAATTTGTTGGAACATTTTTTTCTGAAAAGGGGGAAAGAATTTTATACGTACTGTATTATACTCGCGTATAATTGGTACATGTGCAGATTTGAGTTTTTGGCAGGAAATTTTGCATTTCAGTTTTGTTCGATTGTATTTTAAATCCTACCTTCCGATCGATTTTTTAATATTCTAAAATATTTATCGGAAAATCGGGGAAAGAATGAAGTGCAACAATTGCAATAAAACATGACGAATATTTTGAAAAAATGTTGAACGACGTTGTCGATGCAAAAATTATGTTGCCCATTAAAAATTTTATTCAACAAATTATATACTGAAATGTTCTAAATGCACATCAATTTTGTTTGATTGTACACGTTATTCTAAATTCTGCTCTTTGATCAATAACATCATAATTTATATATTTCACGTTCCATGAAAGAGTTTGAAAAATTATTTCGGGTGCTCAATTTTTTTTAATCTGCTAAAATAGTGGTGTGAAAAGCGAGGAAGTCAAGTGTGAAAATTACAATACAGTATGACGCAAGTTCTGAAAACTTTTTAAACAAAGTTGTCATCTGTGCCCAAAAAAAACTCTAACTGTTTTATTTTATTTAGAACATTGTATACAGTATAATGAAATGTTTAAAACGCATATATCTTCACAAAAAAATTTACAATGCATTTTATACCATGTTTTTTTGACTGTAACTAATTAATTAAATTCTAATATATATGCGAAGGCCTAACTTGAAATTGTTTCCAAAAATTTATTGTGAAAATGTTGTTATAAGCAATTACTCATTACAATATGACGTTTTTTTTTCAGGTCCCCAGAAGTTTATTGGAGCGTGATATTCCACTGTATAAATAAAATGTTGAATTTACAGTATATACAATATTTACAAGGTTACAGTATTTCTTACTTTGTATTCCAATTTCCAGGATTGCTTGGGAGCCTGCATAGTCCTGGTCTCGTGTCTGGCCTCGATGCTCGCATGGCAAAAGAACCCCACTGCGGAGGGTGCGACTGCTTGGGTGGGCCTCGCCATCAACTACACCCTCCTGGTGCCCGTGTACTTGGCCTGGGTCCTCAAGTACGCTGCCGAAGTGGAAATGCACATGGCTGCCCTGGAATGGATCCAAATGTACACTAGTATCCCCGGGGAGAATAGCTCTGATGAAGATGACGATGATGATGATGATGGAAGCAACGATGATGGACGAGATGAAGCGTCTGTTCCTGGGACCCCGACAACTGCTGCAATCGATGAAGACGAAGGCGCCGTTATGCTGCCTGCTGATGATGAACAGTTGCGCGGAAGGCGGCGGAGTTGGTTCAGGTCGTTTAGTAACAATAACGGGACGCCCTTGATGCTGAGTGAGTGATGATGATGCCGTTTTTTGGAAACATTTTAATTTGACTGAAAGAATAGTTTCCAATGCAAAGGAGATATCATATTGAAGCACCCGTGACACTTTTGTTTATGTGTGCGTTTTCTTCATTGATTATTGTAACCCAGAAACCCAATTGTGATTATTTTCTTTTCTCATTATTTGGGAGGAGATCCTTCTCAACAAAGTATTTGGTTCCTTGCAGCTGTTCCCTTTTGTTTTGGTTTCTCCTCTCTCACGTCAGCCCGCATTAATGCGTGACACCCGCTTGTGCGCGTTTCTCCTTTTCAACTTGCTATTTGTCTACAGTGATGAACAACTTTCACTGCCTCCTTGTAAACTGCCAATTTAGGCTATCTACAGACAACATTATATACTCTACAGTGGACCCTCAGTTAACAAACTTTTTGGTTGACAAACTTCTGGTGTTGAGGAAAAATTCCCTTGGTAAAAAAAATCCACCTGTTTTTTTTTTTATTAGAAATTCAATTAAATATATGTAATAATATTCATTTTAAACTTCTGATATGAATGTAAATAGCTCAATTTTTTGAAGAGATTTTCAAATTTTGACATGAAAATTTTGGAATTTTCTAGAAAGGCTGAAAGTGTCTGAATGTTGAGATATATTGTCCGGATGTTGGGCCCAATTTTTTAAATTTTCGAGTGTCCCCATCATAAAGTCGAATTGTCCGCATTATTTCGAGGTCTCCCTGTAAATGTATCCTTCGTCCTCCATTTTGTTCTTTCTGCTGAAGGAGACTATATGTGTAGATGTGCATTTATTATTTTTCTTTGCCAAACAGGACTCAGGAGCATCAGTGAGCAGTCAAAGATACGAATGGCTGCTGAAACTGGGGACAAAATAGTTTTGGAAAATGTCTCTGTTCGTTACAGCCAATGTTCTGACCCTGTGTTGAAAAACATATCTTTGAGAATCCACGCGGGTGAAAAGGTGACGTTTCTTTTATTTCCTGTTCTAAAATTTTTTGCAATTTGTTTGAAAAGATTTGCACAAATAATCGCAAAAGTTCATTTCGATTTTATTTATTTGAATAATCTCTTTTTTTGCGAGGAAGGTGGGGATTTGCGGTCGCACAGGAAGTGGGAAATCGACGCTGCTGTTGAGCTTGCTTAGAATGATGGAATCCGTGGATGGAAGGATTTTCATCGATGGACGGGATATTGCTCATGAGCCAGTTGAAGAGCTCAGGGCGAAAATTGCTACGATTCCGCAAGATGCTGTGCTTTTTTCTGGAACAGTGAGGTTCGTGTGCAGGAGAAAATCCCGCGCCAAAAAAAAAAGAAACATTTTGAGGGGTACGAAAATTCCGCGAAGTGCGAAAATCTTTAGAAGAGTGCACAGTTTATATATATTCAGAGCCAATAATGCAGAGAATGAAGCTCCAAATTAAGTCAGGCTCATGAGAAATTATTAGCTTGAGCGTTCAAAATGGTTCAGAAGAAACCCCAAAGGCATATTTTCACAATTTGGTAATTGTAAAATTTCTGTTGGAGCTTTTGTATTTAGATTTTTATTCATTGTATACTTTTTTTTATTAATTCAGAATTTGTCTTTACCCACCATCGCTGCCTACTCCAGAAAGTTTTTTCCGTTAAACAAATTCAATTCGCGGAATTTTCGGACCCCGCATGGGATTTTATCATGTGGAGCCAATTACTGGAAATTCCGGCGGATGACGTTGTGCTGCTTCCGGATCCGAAGTAGTTTTATTTTTTTCTTCGTTCTTTTTTCGTAGGTCGAATCTGGACCCGTCTGAGAAAATGAGCGATGAGAAGATTTGGGAGGCTCTTGAGAGTGTCAAGGTGGACGACATTGTGAAATCCAGACCAAGAGCTTTGGGTAATTCAATTTTTCTTTTTGTTCATGAAGAAACATAACATTTGCACTGTGGTGGCAGAAGCGGTATATGAAATGCCATGTCATGTATAGGGAATGGAAAACAGGACTGAAGCCATGTGGAAAGTCAGAATTGAAATGTCTGCTATATACAGCTGAGCCTCCTGAATTTGAAAACCTCTCTGTATTTTTGTTTTTTGCCTTCTTGGTTGAACTTTAAAAAAAAGAATGCAATATATAGACTTCCATAACTTACCGACTTCCTCTTAAACCTTTATTGCTCAAATTTCTAGAGGAACTGATTCTTGAGAGACAAATCAAAGAAAAATAAAAATGTTAGTTCATGCTTTTCAAAATGAAGGGATTGATTAATTAGGCAAATTACCCTTTCTAAAAAGTGCAGCATACTATTAACAAGTAGTAGAGCGTCCGCAGTGTGGACAAAAAAACGATTGCAGAAGTGGGATTCAAGCCCATGCCTGCAGAACCAGACTGTGACCTGAACGCAGTGCCTTAGACCGCTCGGCCATCCTGACAACGTAATGTTAATTGATGCGTTTTCAAGTAGGAAAATTAATTCAAGGTGCAAAAGGCCACAGACACACGTTACACAACGTCCTTATTATTCCCCCCCAGACCCCTGTAGGATCCTATTGGTCGTTCCTCCCACTGCGGACGTTAAATAGCAGCCCAGCAGTTCAAAACCTGGAACATGTAACCTATTTTACCCTATTGAAATATAAATTATTTTTAGAAAAACTAAAAAAACAATGCTTCCCCTTTTTCTTATCCCTCTTAGTTCTATACTCAAGAGGTTTGACTGTATATATGATCCTGTTAGGGTCTGTGGCTTCTACTGAAAAAAGTTTAAAAGAATTGCATCTCACTTGAAGTTGGTTCAATTGTGTCCTCCCTTTTATTAAATTGTCAGGAATATTCAAAAGCGCTTCACACCATCATAGTGAATTTATTTTGAAAATTGGATTGAACAAACCAGAATCCACTTTTGCAATTTTCCAATTGGGATTTTGTAGTTTAAATGCTTGTTTTCCTATACTATACAATCTCCTCCTTCAGACCCTTCAGAAAATTGGAGCCTGTATTTGGATTGAAATTTGGTTTTCAGGGCGACCCTGTGAACCATAATTTTTTCAGACCTTTTTGATGGGTTCTTTTATACAGATTACTGTACTCATTTTATTAGTATGAAAAACATGAACAATATAAATACTACCCTGTGTATATATTTATCTAATACAATATTCTGTGTTGTGATTCTGTGACTTTGATTCTTGATTTTAATCCTAATTCAATCTTTTTTGTTTGTCATAGATGCTGAAGTTGGTCCTTCAGGGTCTTGTTTTAGTGCTGGTGAGGTGCAGTTGTTGTGCCTTGGAAGGGCTGCTTGCAGACAAGGAGCCAGTATTCTGTTGATGGACGAGGCTTCTTCAGACTTGCATCCTGTGGCATATGACAGGGTCCAGTCAGCCCTGACTACATGGTTCAAGTCATACACTGTGCTTTCAGTTGCTGTGAGTTTTATATACAGGGTTCCATATTACAAATGGTTTTGGTAACATATGGACCAAGTTGGATGAATGCAATTTTTAAAATTATTCTACTTCCTGCATTACTGTCACATTGAATGTACTGTACTTGTATAGAACATGACAAAGATCAAAATGTAATTGTATTTTGAGTGGATTATTCATTCCAAAAGGATTGTTGAAATTTTTTGCCAACTTTATTTTCCAGCTACTTACAATAAGGATTAAAAATGTGTTTTGCTTGTGTTTCAAAAGAAAGAATAAGATTTCTTTGAACACAGCAGGAAGGTATGAGACTTCAGAATGTTGGACACTGTTTACATCCAGAATAACAGCTGTGTATATACCAATTGACAAGAGTTTTCAAAGTGGATGGATTTTTGTACTCGGAATCTGAAATTCTGAAAAGTTCCATTGAGAAAAAACCAACAGGTTGCAAATGAAAATAACTATTTTTCTGATTATTCCTTTTTGTTATCCAGAAATTTTGGACTCCTTGCCCTGAAGATTATGGACTGCTTGTATATTATTTTTTAAACTTTGAACATATATTTTCAGCATGATTTTGATGCTCTGAATCTGAAATTCCGAAAAATACTGAGCAAAAGAACATATAAAAAAAAATTTACCTTTCACCTGAGCTCCAGAAATTTCTGATTAAATCTTGAAAATCCAGGAAATGATCGCAGATGGCTGTCCGTCTATATATTTTTTTTTAATTTGAAATTGTTTTTTTTTTTCAGCATGATTTTGATACTCTGAAGAAATTCGACCGGATAATTGTGATGGAGAACGGGGAGATCGTGGAGCAAGGCACCCCCGGGAGTCTGGAGATGAAAGTTGGCGGACATTTCGCAGGAATGTCGTGTGCCTTTGCTGCAGGCGCCAAATTGTGAACGCCAACAACTTATACGCAGATATTTTTTTTTTGGCAGCATCAACGAAGACGTCCATCAGCAGGGATCCCTTTTTTTAAGAAAAGGAAGCAATGAAGTTTTATTGTGATATCATTGCATGGTTGGGTAGAATAATCGTGATCAGTGACCGAGACCAAGTGCCATCAACAGGTTCGATATACTGGGTTTTTTATCTCAGCTACTCCAGTGTGATAAATTGCTGCTGTGTGTGTCATATGCTGATGATGATGGCTTCCATCGGAGAAGTTGGGGGATTTTTGTTTTCTAGATCCTTGATAATGCGAAAATGTTTGACGTTAATGTTTTCCACATAGATGTCGCCTCTGTTCGATTGCGTTTTAGTGTGAATCTGTTATTTGGAGAACAAACTTTTTGTTTCGCGATCCGGCGATGATACGTACACTAAGTTCAGCGATGATGATGATGATACGTATACTCACATTCAGTTATTAAATATTCCCGAGGTGATTTTGGCACGCATTTTATATTCTGTTGATGTGGCTCATTTACAATGTGCTCTTTACGGTTGTTCGTACATAGGAATAAAAAAAGAAAAACAACTTGAAAATGGTTTCATCGCTGAATTCTGATGCAAAAATGTTCAAGATCAAGCACGGGTTTCAGCACATGACAAGTCATCAATTTGTGGATGTTTGCCAATACAGTACTGGCCCCCGAGATGTGGACGCCGATTTAACTTATATACAGTACATAATATATATAGACACTCACTGAAACTTTTAGAAAATCTGCTCAGGACTTTGGACGATGTCTCACGATATGGACGGTTTGCCAACATTTCATGCAAAATGAAGAAAAGGATTTTTTTTCATACTGTTCATACTTCAAAAAAATATCTATTGCTGTATGTGCAATAATTCAACAAATATTTTATTATAACTTTACTCTAGCAATTTTCTTCAGACAGAAATTCTTTATTTTGTTGCTTTCATCGTTATATCCTTCTATGGAAGCGAAAAATCATATGCTATACAGTTGCGATGACGAACATTTTCGTTTGGTACTCGAGTGATTTCACGCATTCGGATCAAGCGACACCTAGTTTCAGCAAGATTAAGTCGCTCTACTTCATGATGCTGATGTGCGTGTGGTTTCACTGCTATCCAAATACAGCAAGTTATGCGGGTACATCAAGTACCGTATACTAATGGCGATAATGTCCATCTATATATACAGCAGAGCTGCGGGATCTCTCATAACTTCTTTTCAATTTCAAAATTGAATCGTTGAATTTTTCTTTAGTCGTGTGGATTGAACGTACTTGATGTCATCTATACAAAAAATTAGCCGATAAAAGATGCTCAACTTTTATAGACAGCGACGATCCAAGACAGAATTTGAGTTGTTCGCGCTTTTCGCTATTTTGCTTAAACTGAAGGTCCTCAATTGATATAATAAATTTTTGAGAGGCTTAAAATCATTCTACAGAGAATGGGGTCATTATATATACTGTATATACATATATATTTTTTTTTCTTTGGGTAATTCAAGTTTCTTATGTTTTTAGCTATATATCCTATGACTGCATGGATGCTGGACAAACTATATTACAGTATCAAAGTTTATCATTTTGAATGATTGAGTAGCCCAGCAGTTTTCCTGCATTTCTGTTATAAATTCAGCAGTACACTACCATATAGTTTAAGCCACCTCATTTCATCCATGTAAAGCTGGAACAGAACAATTTTTACTGCATAGAAAAGGGACTCCCGCAATAAATGATGGATATGTTTGAGCGCCCGAATTAAAATTCTCCGCTGAGCCAATGCATTGTTTCGAATTTCCGCAAAAACATACTATATATATAATGGATTTTAAAAACGTTCTGAAGAAATATGACATTTTTGTATGATGCAAAATATATGCAGAAAAATTCATATGATGATATATGAATCATCAAACAATGAACCGCGCACATACAGTATTTTTTATACGCAGGTACTAAACGAGCTAATCAGCGAAAATGTTAATGATATATTGTTTTTTATTATTTTGTGGGTTTATAAAAATCAAGAAACTCATTTCTCAAGGTACAGTACTGCTGTACTGTATCATGGGAAAACCTTACCTCAAAGAATGAGGGAAACAATTCTGGAGCTGCATAACCCACAATTTTTAAATTTTTTTTTTGCTGCATGCAGCATTCAGAACATTGCGGCTTTGTTTCTCCCGGATACGATTTTTTCTCTGCGAAAGCTTGGGATGATTTTTTATTCGCATGATATAAAATTCCCCGTAAAATTTTATCCGTTTAACAGTGTAATGACCATCACAGTGTACAGTATGTATATTACCCACACTGTTGCTCGAGTTAAGATTCGTAAAATATTTGTGTCTTGAATCATGGTCCCGTCAATACCACACCAAAATGTAATCTAACAACATGAGAGGGTATATTCATTGTTGCTGGTATGCTGCTGTACTTTATTTATTGTATAAACTTGTGTTTTTGTGTATTATAGTCATGCGGGAGTTATTCGGTTAGCATTCCTAAGAGAACCTTTGAATTCATCTGTTTCTTCTCGTGCCGATTCCCAACTAAAATTGCAATAATCTTCCATTTCGTCAATTTGTTCAATAAGGTATTTTTCAGGAACTCTTAAGGTGCCCGTTAACGGGATTGCCGAGAATTGGAAGCAGCGTCACCTACACAGACTGTGTGAACTCACTTGCACGAATTTTAGCCCCACTGCATTTTCGTTCATTCTGGACCTGGTCGAGGTGCATTTCCGAATACGCGATCAGCTTGAGGGCAAGAGGTTATGGGGAACCGTGGGATTGTGAGCTAAAACGACGAACGCTAGGATCTGGTTAGAATCCCGTGAGACGCGAGCTGTCCTGATTTGGAAATTTTCCAAATTTTTGTTTGATGTCCATGAACTGAGCGGGAGTTGTGCGAACGTGATTTAAATTTTGGCGTGCATGGCTAGTCTGTTTCCGTGCGAGCCCTTTTTTGAGTCATGTGCACTTCGTCTGATTGACCGAAATGCCTTTAATCATTTACTGATGCGGAAATTTCTTCTAAAATGTCCATGGATATCGTATTCGTGATACGTACCGCCCCGTACAGGAAAAGTCGTGCTAAGATATACGGCATTTCCGGTTGAAATTGTTTTCCGGTGCATATTTCGGGGCTATTCGACGCGCACCCGAATTTGTATGCTCGTGGAGTGCTCCGTCGCATTCGACTGAGAAGGAAATAAGATAAGTTCGTCGCGAAAGTGAACCATTGAGGAACGGTCTTCGAGTTATTCTTAAAATTTGGTTTCCTTTCTTGTCCGTATTGGTTGCTCACGAGGAATTTGCTCATTCATTCTCTTAATGATATGGTGTTTCTGATCACAGGAAGTGACGAAATTTATTGATCTGTGTTACTTGAGAAGAATCAGGAGGACATTGTCATGGTGAGTGAATTTTTGCGACTGTCTTGTGGACGTCTGTCGTTCAGAATCAAAACCCAGAATATGTCGACTTTTTCGCGAAAAATGATTGGCTGTATTCTTCTTTAGGGTCAAGGGCCATCTTCTGGAAGTGGTTCTGGTGGAGAGAAGAAAGATGACAAGGATAAGCGTCGCAAGTACGAGCCCCCGATCCCGACTCGTGTCGGCAAGAAGAAGCGTCGTACCAAGGGACCAGATACTGCCAATAAAATGCCCCAAGTCACGCCGCACACTCGGTGCCGCCTGAAATTGTTGAAGCTTGAAAGAATCAAAGACTACTTGCTCATGGAGGAAGAATTTATCGAAAATCAAGAGCGCTTGAAGCCCCAGGAAGAACGTAATGAGGAAGAAAGGAATAAAGTCGATGACTTGCGCGGTACACCGATGTCAGTTGGCAGTCTCGAAGAAATCATCGACGAAAATCACGCAATTGTGTCGACTTCAGTGGGCAGTGAACACTACGTCTCAATTTTGTCTTTCGTGGACAAAGACGCTTTGGAGCCAGGTTGCTCTGTTCTCCTGAACCACAAGGTTGGCCCTCACTTCCAGTCTGTTCGTTTTTACTGGAGGATTTAGAAGTAGTGTTGTATGAATCTTCGTGAAAGAGTTATTAATCGTGAAAGTATGAAGACTAAGGTTATTAATCGTGTGATTCAAAATACTGTGCTTTGCAATACTTCGGAAACTTTTCTTTCGTGTGTGTATGATGATAATTCCTCACGATTGAGTCTGGTTATTGTTGATATTCGTGGAGTTTTGAGCCGATCCAATGCTACGAGGTGAATGCATTAAATTTGAATGAGCTCCGTTTCAAATGCTGGCAGTTTTTCTGTCAGTTATTAATAGCGACGAGCTGAAGTAGAGCTTACTGAAGTGACGCTTCACTCGTATGTATTGATTCAAAATTGAATCCTGTGAAGTTGGCTATAGATCAAGAATCCTTTGAGGAATTTTCGCCCTTTAACGTCATAATTTGACACACGATGTAAAATGCGGTCAAAGTTTCAAATCGATTCGAAGAGGTTCTGATTGAATTTTTCTTTGATCGCCTTCAGGTTCACGCCGTTGTTGGTGTACTGAGTGATGATACGGATCCAATGGTGACCGTGATGAAGCTGGAAAAAGCCCCGCAAGAAACATACGCCGATATTGGAGGTGAAGTCGTCGAAAATTTTGTATCTTCTTCCTGATTTTGGTGTCAACTACCCCACTTGGACTTTTACCTGCCTTAAAACTGACGCACTTTGATATTGGAATAGATAATTCACGTGTTCCACAGTGTGGAGAAATTCATTTGAAAAATTATGTGAGCCTACGTTTTGCCTTCTAAGAATGAGGGATGTCGAGAAACTCTGAATTTCAAAAATCGTATGGTTAGATTCGAATAATCTAGGATTTTACTTTCGAAAAACTCTGAGTCTGAGTTAAATCTTTCTCAGTTCTCCATACTGAAACTCATTCCAAAACATCTGCTTGTTGTGCACTTCGCAGCACTTTCCAAGGCTGTTATACAATCTTAAAGTACCTTCATCTCTCTGAATGTTTAAGAATTTGAAAATGTTTCCTCAAGAAGCGCTCAGTTTGGTCAAAGAAGTGAAAATACTTGAATTGCAGCATGAAATGGAATCATTTTTAAGGTACTGTAATTGACAGTTGAACCTCGACGACTCAAACCTCCCTGAGTCAAAAATTTTTGAAGTCCCCGTCTGAATTTCCTTGGAAGAAATGCACTAAAAAAAACTTCCGTAAGTCGAATTTTCAGGAGGCTGTTCGGCTTCTATTTTATCGACAGAGAAAGGGAAAAGCAATACGAATGTAACTTGATGTGCTTTGATTGGAAGTGGAAGATTAATTGTAAAAATGAACCCTTGCCTCCAAGTTCAGCATCCTATCAACTCATTGATTAAGCATTTCAAGGCCCTGAATTCCACCGATTACGATTTTGTCCAAATCTTCTTTCTTTTTCCCAACAAAACTGCCTGTTTCCGTATCTCAAATCTTTCTGCTGCTCCCTTGAAGTTCATTTTGGAGAGGTTTGACTGTAGTTTGAAGCCAAATGGGAGAAGCATGAAGATTTGAGGCGAATAGCTCAATAACGCCGATTTCACTTGTAATATTTGATTCTGTGACACAGAATTATAATTCACTTATGTCTTCTTTTTTTAAGGATTGGATACGCAGATACAAGAAATAAAGGAGAGCGTGGAATTACCTTTAACTCATCCGGAATTGTACGAAGAGATGGGAATAAAGCCCCCGAAAGGTGTAATCCTCTACGGGGCACCCGGAACAGGAAAAACTCTTTTAGCCAAGGCTGTGGCGAATCAGACCTCGGCGACTTTCTTGCGGGTCGTCGGATCCGAACTCATCCAGAAATATCTCGTACGTCTCAGGCGGAATTTTCCACAGCATTCAACTTCGCAATTCGTAGCTCACTCTGTTTTTAAAATCACATTTGGCATTTGTCTTAAGGGTGATGGACCTAAACTGGTGCGTGAGCTGTTCAGAGTCGCAGAAGAACACGCGCCGTCGATCGTGTTCATTGACGAAATCGACGCTGTTGGCACGAAAAGATACGAGTCTAATTCCGGCGGAGAGCGTGAAATTCAACGGACGATGTTGGAGTTGCTCAATCAACTCGATGGCTTTGATTCGCGTGGAGATGTCAAGGTACGAACACCCTTGTGTGCTGAACATGTTTATTTTAAAGATTCAGGGTAGTTTTTGGGCGGAGCTTTCAACCTTCTTTTGCTTGATGTGCGTTTTGAGCTATTGTGGAGTTGAAATACAGTACGATTTTGTCTCTTAAAGTCGAACTTCAAAGTACCAACAAAAAAGTTGATGTAGAGATGTTTCGAGTTGAAGAAAGAATCATTTTTGCTCAGAGGAAGAAAGAGTAAATGAAGAAAATTGTAAGTGGTGGCATTCTGAGCCTTAAATTACGGTACTTTTTGAATGAGTAGACAGGATGCTGAACTTGGAGGCAAAGATTCATTTGCAAAATTAGTTGTTCACTTACTTTTAAAACACATCAAGTTACTTCTTTATTGTTTTTCTCTTTCCTGTGTCAATAAAATGATACCCAAAAGGCCTCCAGAAAACTTTGGCCATTGAGGTTTGACAGGGAAAGTCTTTGAGTTAGAGAGGTTTTTAAAGCATGGATTCTAAGGAAAATCAGACAGAGATTTGAAAAAAAAAAATTCGACGCTCAACTTTTATTGCAAATGTGTTGTCCAAATGTAATCACATTCTTTAGGGCAGGCTTATTTTGCTGTGCCTATGATTGGGACATCTTCTGTTCGATCAGGTTTTAAACTTGAAGAACACTTGTCTACGTTTGAAAAAAAAATCGCGGAATGAAACAGGAAGTTGCCAATATTTTCACCTAGCTTACGCGCAAAAATGAATACTGTTTTTTTTTTTAATTCTGCATTGTTTGTGTTCTGTACTGAATCAAGTTCCGTAAAATTTCGTTTAACGTTGCTTTCGACTTTCGTATTACTCAGATGTGTATCACCATCATTTGGAAAGTTCTGGTCTGACGCATGCAGCGTTTTTAATGATATTCCACCGATTCGTAAGGAAACCCTGCAACTGATGGTACTGTTCTTTGTCGTAATGACTGTTTCAGGTGATAATGGCGACGAATAGGATTGAGACTCTGGACCCGGCTTTGATCCGCCCAGGGCGAATCGATCGAAAGATCGAGTTTCCTTTGCCCGACGAGAAGACAAAGCGACGCATTTTCACCATTCACACTTCCCGCATGACTCTGGCGGAAGACGTGAACCTCGAGGAGTTGATCATGACTAAGGATGATTTATCTGGCGCCGATATAAAGGTGAAAAAAAAAGAGAAGAGAATCTCGTGGTTGAGATCTTTGTGACCTCCAACATCGCACTTTCTCATTTTTGCATAAGGTCGTGTCGTAGATGCGTGACTTTACGAAACCTTCCTGCCGAAAAAAAAGGGTACTAAAAATATTGTGCTCTTTCAAAACTTGGAATCGATTCCTTTAATTTTCCACGAATCGCTGCTTCATCATATTTTTGATGGTGTTTTTTTGTGTGTGCCAATTTATGAGAAATGGATTGACGCGAGTGGTTGTACAGTAGAATCTCGTGACAACGAATAATCTCATGAAACGAAATCGTTTTTTTGGGTCCCTGCCCAATAGTCACACTGTTGAATGACTTGCTTTTTAACGAATTTTTCTTCACCACATAGCTATTTCAATAGTCCCAATGGCTTCGTTTTAACGAGATTTTACTGTAGTACTGTACTTGTCGCGATAATTCATCGACATTTGATTTTACGCTTGAAAAAGGAAGTGCCACCGGATCTTTGTTTTTCTTGTTTGACATTCTTCAGAGACCTGGAAGTTTACGTGTCTTATCAACGATCCCCGCGTGGGTAACGAAGAAATTTATAGGATTCCAGTGGTCGAATTTTCCGTTTGATTGTGGTTATTTTTGGTGCAGTGTTGTGTTACTTTCTAATTGCTATATTCGAAGTCTGTTGAATCGATAAATATTTATTCGTGTTTCTTCTCGGTTCGGGTTATACATGTTCACTTCCGAGTTAAAGGTGTACAACTTTCATGAATTTATCGAGTAGGTGCGATGAAACCGTAAGCCACTAAAATTGTTGAATGGGAATCCAGTTCATGCAGTTTCTTTTCGTAAGGAAAATCGCGAAAATTGCCCTTGCGTTTCATTTCTTCCGGCTTCAACCTTTTTGCATGAGAGAGTTTGAAATTTCGAGTTGAAGAGGTTTCGAAGCTGTGCTTTTATCGTACAATATCTTTTGTTTTCAAGAGTTGATTCGGTTTCGCACGAAGAATTTCTCGATATTCTAATCCAAATTTCTTTTCGAATTTGCAGGCAATTTGCACCGAAGCCGGCTTGATGGCGCTTCGTGAACGTCGCATGAAGGTGACGAACGAAGATTTCCGGAAATCGAAGGAGAACGTTCTGTATAGGAAGAAAGAGGGAACACCGGAAGGGCTCTACCTGTGAACAACAAAAGAAATTCAACTATGCCAATTGCAAAAATTTGCGTTGGAAATCTTCAAAAATATTCACAATAATTACTGTTCCTTTTCTTCAGTGGCGTCCGCAGTAAACGGTTGAACTGTGTTGTTTTTTCTCCCTCATATTCAACTGAGAAGAATATTTTCTCCATCTCATCCATTCCGTTTTTCGCAGGTGTTGGTGACGAAGTACCCGACGACGACGTCAGTGTTGAAAAAAAAATTTATTCTTGTGAAGTGTCGGGCGTTCAAGTGAGAGCAAATATGACAGCAGTGGCTGATAAAGTAGAATTAGAGAACAAAGAGGAGGAAGAGGACGATGAGGAAATTGACGACGGAACAGCAGCGACGAACCCGGAAGCAAAAAAGAAGCGAAAGAAAAAGAAGAAGAAAAAGACTGCCGGCGTGGAAGGTGATGCTCTGAACGGGAAAACCCCCGGGGAAGTTGAGCAGTTGAGCGATTTGCTGAAAACGACGTCGGTGACGAATGGAGACGAAGTGGGTGATGCGGAAGAGGAAGAAGGTGGAGATGGGAAATCCGGGGGCAAGAAGAAGCGTCGAAGAAAGCCGAAAGCCAAGAGTGACGTTAAGCCTACAGTTGCTATCGTCGATCAGTTTAAGGGGAAAACTTATCCGAAAGGTTCGTGGGCTTCCTTTGTGTCGTGACTTTTCCTTGGATTGAACGCCATCAACGTCGTATGAGTCTTGTTTGGTGGATTTAGATTATTTCATTTTTTACAAATATGTTTCATAATATCTGATGATATTGAAAAAAAAATATTCAATCGTGTTCTTAGGATGGGAAGTGGAGCATTCCACCACTGAAGGAAATAAGTGCCACACGAATTAATCATGATTCATTTGATTGAAATGGCTATGCTAATTTTTTCTGAAAAGAAGATTCTATGATGAATGAAAAGTGCTTCCATCAAGAAGGCAAATTTTTACCTCGTTCATAAAATTGACGAATTCCATTAATGCGGGTAATCTCATTAACTCCGAGTCATGAAGAAATCTCCATTTTTCATCCATTTGAAATTCTTTCGACATACTTGATGAAAAATTCGAGTTTGGGAGGTTTCAACAAACGTTTTCGTTGGGGGAAGAAAGGAGAGTCGAAGGAAATCGTAATTTTGTATAATCTGGGCTTTAAATTGCTTTTTAATTGAGTTGACAGGATGCTGAACTTGGAGGCAACTGTTCCTCTGCCCAATTATTCTTTCACTTCCTTTCAAAACGTATCAAGGGACATTTTTTATTGCGTTTCTCTTTTCTGTGTAAATAAAACAATATCCAGAAGGCCTCCAGGAAATTCGAGTTATGGAGGTTTCAGAGAAGCCTTCAAATCAGGAATGTTTTTAATGCATTGTTTATGAGGGAATCCGAACAGGGACTTCGAAAAAATCGACGTAGGAACGTCCAATTTTTCGGTTTCAACAGAATGAATAAAAAATGCTAGGAGGAATTTGTGCCCTTTTCTCTACGTGATTATTCTGTGTTTCAGAACTTCTGAGATCGCGCTTTTGTCATTCATCCCATTATTTTCCTGTCACGCGTTTTTGTTCGATGCAAAATGTTTCTCAAGTTTTTGATTGAAATATGGTTTCTTTTCCCTTTTTAGGCCTGGAAATGGAATACCCAACGGTCACCGACGGCAGGACAGCAGCGCAGCGCGTGACGAAAGAAGAACAGAAGGCCGTGGAAGCAATGAATACCGAGTGGTACGAAGAGCTGCGAATCGCGGCAGAAGCCCATCGTCAGACGAGATTGTACATGCAAAACTGGATCAAGCCCGGCATGACGATGATCGAGATTTGCGAAGAGCTCGAAGGCACTGCTCGTGGTTTGATCAAGGAGAACGGCCTCAAAGCCGGACTGGCCTTCCCCACGGGATGTTCTTTGAATCATTGTGCTGCGCATTATACCCCGAATGCTGGAGACACTACTGTTCTCAAGGTTAGTTTTGTTAACCCCCTCACGACTGTATTTTCTTGCCTGGGAAAAGAAGCGGTTTTTTGTTCTCACTATTTTACCTTATGGGAAATTGAAGTCGTGTGGCATCCGTACGGGTTGTGAAATTTCTTGTTTGTGTGAATAAATTCCTGAGTCCAGTGAGTCCTCGCATGACGAAAAATCCCTAAGACAATATTTTTATAGGGAAGTAAGTGACTCGCGGAGTGAAAATGTTCAACATGAAGAATTTTGTGACAAAAAGAAAGATATGAAATTTTGAAAAATTCAGGCTAAATTTTGGAATTTGAAAAAGCCTAGGAAATTGATTTAAAAAAGGGCATAGTCTTGCCTATAAAATTTGTGAAATTCAGAAAGTAACAAAATTGCCAGGATAACTGAAATTTAATGCAACTAAATTTAAAATTGGATGCAGAAAACTTTAGAAACTACCGTTTTTAAGGTTTATCAGGGTCTTTCAAAGCTCTTGTTCTTTCAAAGTTTGGATTACACTTACTGTACAGAGTAAGCCCAATATCCTGAACCACGTCATTTGTATTCATATACTGTATTCAATTTGCAATATTTGTAGACCTTTTTCCAGTTTTAATCTGTTTGATTTCAATTATGACAATCTTGCGCTGAACTTGATTGCGACTCGTATTTTGTACTGTATTCAGTGAAATTTATTTGTACCGTAGAATGTTTTTTGAAGATGTGAGAATCAAGTTGTGGAGAAAATTTTACAACAAGAAGAAAAACATCAAAAGTACTTTGAACAATTCAACAGGGATCAGTCGAGAGAGTTCTAGATTACAGTGGCTCTAGTAGTACTGGACATTCCGGATGTCTGCTTGAAGCAAACGAAGACGTCGCACAAAAATGCCAACTCCACTGTGAAACCCGATTACCCATTCCATTATTTTTCCCCAGTTCGATGACGTTTGCAAAATCGATTTCGGTACCCACGTGAACGGACGCATTATTGACTGCGCTTTCACTCTATGCTTCGACCCGAAATTTGATACTCTTTTGAACGCCGTGAAAGACGCAACGAATACTGGCATTCGGGAAGCAGGGATTGACGTGAGACTAGCTGACATTGGGGCAGCTGTTCAAGAGACTATGGAGTCTTACGAACTTGAGCTGGATGGGAAGGTTTATCCGGTAAGCGACTTCTGATCTTGTTCCCGGACAGGCGTTGCAAGTGTAGTGTAGGAAAATTTCTTCTGTTTGCTCTTGTTTCTCATCTTTTTTTGCTTTTTTTTTTCATTTAGTGATGCTCTCTGAAAGTTTTTGCAAAGCGGGTGAGTTCGAATTCGTGTTGGTTGGAATCTTGAATGTGAATCCAACAAGAGGTTGAAGGATGAAATTGCGCTGATGTAAAAATTAAAAATTGGGAAGCAGCTGGTTTTAAAGCCATATTTCTAGTTAAATACCAGTTCCTAGTTTTTCCAGATGATTAATTAAATGATCGATGATCAAAGAAGTGATTCACGGAGGGACATTGAAAACGCCACAATGAATAAGAACAAGGTCGTGCTCTAATTTAAAAATAGCAATAAATACAAGATTATAAAATAAGAATGAAAAGAAGTGATCCTCCTACATTAAAGTTTGTGATGAGAGTGTTTTCAATGAAAATGCGAAGTTCATGGAGGAGGAAAAAACTTTTAATAGCGTTTTCCTTCTTGGAGCATCCACAGATTATATGCACCCAGAATTGTTTCAAACTTGAAAGCATCATTAGTTACTTGAGGGACAAATGAAACAGAAATGGTTCCAAGTTATTTTTTGAAAATTTCTTCAATATACTGATCAAGAAAAGCTACTGTAGCTGTGTAGAATTTCAGAAGCGGAATGAAATGTGTGAATTAAGCTCATTGTACTGTATATTGAAATTTAGCATCTTAGTGGCGTCTGCCTACTTTGAAACTGTTTATTTTACATTTTACTAAACATTGTGGATTTCCTGTATTCACTGAAGTACCCTCGAGTAAAGGCTTGCCCCAGAGTTTTTCAGTCGATGAAATTGTATCCTGGAGTACGGCACACACCCAGTTTCTAGTGACTCTAGAACGGCAAAATTTCAAATATAAGAACACCCTGATTTGAATTTAGGCGTGATTTGAACCTGAAATTAACTAATTTTCGGTTGTTTCCATTAGGATAAAAAGTTTTACTGTTCAACTTGGCTGAAAACTTACCAATAGAATCAAGCATAATAAATACCTGAAGTTCTAAGCCATTTTAGAAAATGTATGCCTGCCTGTGACGCGCTCCCCCTTTTTTCTTCATGAATTTTAAAATAAAAGTGTACGTGTTACTTGAGTTAATATGGCATTCATCATGGTTTGCGAACTAATTGCTGAACATTAAGGTTTTGAAAATCAGATGTAAGTCAATGTGTGGGCTGATGACTGTTCGGTTGCTGTTCGAAAAGACCCGTCTATGTTGAAGTTCTGTATCTGATTGACTTTCTTTTTTTAAAATTATTTTTGTTGTGGTACGAAATAGATAAAGCCGATCAGAAACTTGAATGGTCACTCGATAGCACCTTATCGAATCCACGCTGGGAAGACGGTTCCGATAGTGAAGAAGTCTGGCGAAACTGACATAATGGAAGAAAATGAAGTGTATGCCATTGAAACGTTCGGTTCGACTGGACGAGGCGTGGTTCATGACGACATGGAGTGCTCGCATTATATGCGAGAGCCGAATGCCGGCCACGTTCCTCTGAGGCTGAGCAAGAGCAAACACCTGCTGAATACGATCCAGACCAACTTTGACACACTCGCTTTCTGCAGGTTTGTGTGTGTGTTTATGCGTGTATTAGTGTGTTATTATTTTTTTTGGCAGTCTGTTCTCTCAATCTGGATTCTGCGCCGAAATTTTGAATTTTTTTGTTTTTCGGAGAATTGATGAAGTGGAAACTATTGTAGTTCCTTGCCGAGTATTGGTGGAATCTCTCTACAACGGATTTCAAGCGGCCAGAAACCAATAATTTATTGTAAATGACCCGTATATGATGGGTAGAAAACTCTATGGGACCCAAGATGAATCTTTACACAATATAAAGAAAATCGTTGTACTTGTAGATGTAGAGAGTCTATTACTTGTACAGTATCGATCACGAGACTTTGAAATTATTTCTGACCAAAGAAATTATGGTCGACGGTCTTCCAAAGACGTTTTTGATTTGCTGTGTTTATTCCGAGGCGCCTACTCGAGAGAATGATCGAACAATTGAAAGAAAAGAGATGGATTGCTACATTATCCTGCACCAAGACGAAGTTTTTACAATTTGACTCACCTAAGAAACTTGGGAAGACTGAATTCAGTTCAGCTGCCCAAAGAATTCAGTCTTGCCAAGTTTCTTAGGTGATCGTGTCTTTTTGAGATTTGGGTGAAATTTGTATGAATTCGCGATGCTCTTCTTTCCCGTGTCGAAGTTTTTCGACTTGGTATTAATCGTTTCAATGTTGATGTACTGTACTTATGATTCATGCAAAATTTTGAATGCTGAGAATACAGTGGGGCCCCGACATACGAACTATTTGACTTGGGGGACACGTGAACCTCGAAAAAAAAAACACATGCCCGACATCCATACGGTGTCCCAAGATATTGACGCTTTGCCAACATTTTTAGAAAAATGGAAACTTTCTCTTTTTTAAAATTTGTGTGCAGTATTTATATACAAAAAGGTGAAAAAAGATAAATTAACTTTGTTAGTCTAATGGACGATCTTTTTTATTGAGTTTTTTACATCGTCTCATCATCTGTGCACATTATAGCGAGACTTCAGCTTATTTTTTGCTTTTTGTGCTCCTTTTCTTGCCATGGAATCAGATTTTTTGCGTTTTTCTTTTCCGCATTAATTTTCTGAATGTCGAAGTTGATGAATGAAATTTTATTTATTTTTTGGGGGACTTCTTCCTAATATTTTGATGAACAGAAGGACTAATTAGGTGTGCTTCCATTGACGTATGTAGGAAAACATGAACCGACATTCGAACATAGGGACAAGGTCCCAAGCACCAATTACATCCGCATCTCGGAGCCCCTCTGTGCTAAATTTCCCTGCACTGTAATATTTTTTTTGCTTAATGAATACTGTAGAAGTCTTGCAATTATTATTTCTTTTTTACAGACGATGGTTGGATAGACTGGGAGAAGAAAAGTATTTGATGGCTCTGCGGGATTTGTGTGAGAAAGGTCTGGTCACGTCCTACCCACCGCTGTGTGACATCAAAGGTTGCTGGACAGCCCAGTGGGAACACACGATTCTTCTCCGGCCTACATGCAAAGAAGTCGTGTCCAAAGGACCTGATTATTAACAAGTCTTCCCCTGGCGTTATCTCGGAATGAAAAAAAAAAAAATTCTCGCTTGTGATTCGTTTCTCTGTCTAACGTGAAATTGCGTTGTGTTTATATTTGGTTGCTCAAATTAAACCTCACTTGGTTTAATTTTTTCTGATTTCGAGTTGATGCGAAAGGGAGAACGCGAAGGTTTTGATCCAGGTTCTGTTTTTTTTTCTGGCCGAGTAAAAAAAAAAATCATGGCTTTGTTGGGCTTGGATACGATGAATGCAGTTGTTCCTGAAGAGAAGCGTTGAAGTGATTTCGTGGACCAAGTAGAATTTTCTTTTTTGTTATTTATTCAGGATGAAGTTTCTAGAAAACCTAACCTTTTTGTCCTTGCTGAAACCAAATTGAGTTCAACGCATTTCTGATGGGACCTCATTTTCAAAAAAAAATTTCTGCTTGGATATTAAGGAAGTTTTGTTTTGCTTTTCTTCTGTTTCAGACGTAGACCTGTGCAATGAAAGCCTGTTGGTTGTGTTGGATTCAGAAAATTTGTTTCTTGACTGAAACAAGTGCGTTGTAATTTATGAGTGACATTGAAACTTCTGTGAAGGTCTTGGGTAAATGATTCCTTCCTCGAGGAGAATTGTGGAAAATAATTGATGTTTTAGTTGAACTTTTTTTAAATTCAGAAAATACTGTAGCTTTTGTCCTGCTTTCCGTTGACCTCGTCTATCGATATGACGATTTTTTTTTCCGGAAAAAAGCTTCAGACGGTTTTATTTCTAATATTTTGGTATACCATACCAAAAAATAGGGCATGGTTTCTAAGTGCGATTGTTTCGAGAAATTATGTTTGCAGCCTCGAAAAAAATGAAAATGCAGTACACGTCATTAGGAAAAACGAGAAAAAAAATCTCTGATCGCCGGTTTCCGTGTCTTCAAAGAATCCGCTTGATCCGTCGATTAGAAATGTTATATTGATCCAACAAATCGAGTTGAAACGTTTGCGGGTTCACCTCAGTTTTTGTGGGCATTCAAGGCTTTCGTCCGAATCAATCCGATTTCGGTTCTTGATGCGGTCGCGGATGATGAAAATAATTTGTCAAATTGCAGAACTCGGCCCTTTGTTTGTCGGCTTTTTACATGTTGACGCGTTGATCGTTGTGATGATCGTTACTGAAAATTTGCAAGTTCTTCTCGGTGGATGAAATGGAGGAAGAATCCTTCACATCCGAAGAACTCTCGGAATTACTGAGAGGACTGCATGGGTATGAAGTGGAAATTTCGTGTTTTTCATGTTTTTTTTGGTTTGAAGCTGTTTCTCTTTTCAGGTTGTTCGGAGATCCTGGAGAACTCCTTGTCGAAGGCTCCATCGAAGATGAATTGTTAGAGTTCGACGAACTGCATGATGCCTACCATTACGTCAAGCCTTTTGTACCGTCCATCATATTATGTAAGAAGACCTTCGCAAAATCATGGAAGGAGGCTATTGTCATGAGTTAAAGTCAAGCTCCATTGATACGCCACCCTTGGTGCCTGCCAAAATTTCGTTTTAAGCAAATCTCCTCAGTGGTATTTCCTAGAAAAACCTGGATAAGACGCCAACCTCAACATTATTGATGTAACAAAAGTACTATTTGGTATTAGTTCTGTCTTGGTTACAATACCAACATTGGCGTGAAATTGAAATTTGTGTCTAGGACCTTCCATTTCTAAGAAAAAATTAAAATGTTTATTCTTTTGAATAATTCAAAAAAAATAGAAAGACCTAATTTTAAAAGTCCGATAAATTCAATGGAGTGAAATTCATTTCCAAAAGACGAATCTGTATATCACAGCAATAATCTGGAAAATTTCTGAAGTTTCTAGAAAACATGCATATCTGATATTTTTGTTGGAAAATTGAGTATTTTCTGTGTAGGATCTAGTTTTTTAAAGGAAAAATTTCATTCTTTCGAATACGTTAAACAATTGAAATACACGTATCTAATTGAAAAATCTGAATACATTTGATGGGTTAAAATTGTTTTCTGGAAGAGGAGTCCATATACTGTATCTCAATAATAATGTTCAGAAAATTTCTGAAGTTTCTAGGAAACATATTTCTGCTATTTTTGTAGGAAAATCAAGTATAGTATCTTTTTAGGATCTAGCATTTTTGAGAAACAAATTAAGATGTTCATTCTTTGATTAATGGAACTAATTTTGAAATTCGAATGAATTTGATGGAGTAAACTTCATTTTTTGAAAGAGGAAGCGATCTATAATACCGGTAATTTTTGTAAATTGAAAATTTCTAGAAAATCTGTATTCTGCTATTTTCAGAGGAGAAACAAGTAATTGTAATCAAATAATGAAAAAATGAACCATTCGAAAACCGCCAACCCCTTTAAAACAGCCAAAATCTTCCGAGACAAATGGCAGCATCTCATCGGGGTTTGACGGTATTTGGTAGCAAAAGGATGCTTTTGCAAACTGTTTTAACCGATCGGTTGAAAATGTTGAATGTTTCAGCGCCTTTCAGTTCGCCGCTGCGATTCTCTCCCACGAAGCGAGTGAGTGACGTGAAAGACCAGAGTCCGAACGATGGCTGGGGTGCGACGATGCAGCGAATACCGCGGACGTCGTCGCCGTTGAAGGCCTGTCACTTGCCCGTCGTTGATTATTCGCCAGTGACGGAAGATCCCGACGAAGGGATTCCGTTTGTGGCGAACGAGACGTTCCATGTGCCTAATGGGAATGGACACGAGGCCGAGTCTCCTGCCATCTCGTCGCCCGACGTGAATGCCACTTTTAGCGTGACTTCCGGTTAGTCCTTGTGGTTGAATTATTTATTTTATTTTTGGAGAAGAACACGCACGAAGTGAGCGAGACGGGAATTATACCAGAGTTGTCTCAGTTGGACGCGACCTTTGGTATTTTTAGAGGAGGTGTGATTTGTAAAAAAAAAAAAAATCATAGCTTGGCCATTATTTTTCGAGGTTTTGGGATTTTGTGAAAAAAGTTTTTCAATTTACTGCATGATGATAAGTGAAACCTTTGTAGGTTCAGCCAGAGTTCTCCGCCAATGTCGAAGGATGCTGAAAATTTGTCAGACCTTCTTGAAAATTGACATTTTTGTTTTGTTTTACGAATTGTTGGTTCTGAAATTTAGATAATGGTCAAGTAACAAAACAATTCAATTCCTTTGCTAGCCTGAAGAATTTTTAATCCCCTGTAACATGTGTGGAGTGATCCAGCTGTAACTGGAAAATTTTTCACTTATCCTGCAGTAAATTGAAAAACTCTTCTGAAAATCTGAAGAAAAAAATCCCAGAACCTGAAAATATGGGCTGTGTCGTGATTTTTGTTTTCACAAATCGCACATACTCTAAAAAGAAATCATAGGTCGCGTCCGACTGGGACACCCTCGTATCTTCCTTTTGTAAATGTTGGAAGTTTTAGGTTAAACGACCGAATTTCTGCGTGATTCCCATAATTCATTCGTTTTTTGTATACGAGGTTATGCGCAAAATCGGAAATGTAGGCTGGAGAGAATGTGATCAACAATCTTGATTGTCATGAATTCATATAAATGCGTAAGAAATCGAAATTTTCTGCTTTCGTACATTGGTTCAACATCTTGATACAATATATTTTGGATACGTTTTTTGATATAACGTCATTATTTTATTGAACTTTTTGAAATAAAAAGTGCATTTGAATCTTGTTACAAAGAATCTCATTTTTACGAATGATTGCGTGCAATCAAGTCGTTTTTCTGGTCCATGCCCTACAGCCATAATGTTAAATGAGTTATTTTATGACGAATTTTTCGTTGCGTGGGCATTTTACAGTACTTGTCACAATGGCTTCGTTGTAAAGAGATTTTGACATTTTTGAGGTACAGTATTAAGATATTGTAGGTCGAAGTAAATGTACACTCTTCCAGCGATTACGTGGAGATTGAGCCGCTTGTTGGTGCCGTAGAAAGGAATTTTTGTTGTTCTCTGTTGTCAAAAGATTTTCCACAGCCTAAATCATTCGATGGGAAGTTTAAATACAACAATCCCGTTTTTAGCGCTTTTAAAGTAGCATTCTTGAAAGAAAATTCTAATCTTTTTGCAACCGGCATTTTTCCTTCGCGATCCTGTTCGAAATTCCTCGCAAAATGTTCAGGAAAGAAGTTTGTCGGACAATCCTGAAATATCCTTTGTTACTGGTGGAAACTAGTTAATTTGCTAACTGAGTACGGACCATTTAAAGTCTCGTGAGACGAGTAGAGCTATTGTATTTCGATAATTTTTTAAAGAAAATAAATTTTGTTTTTAAAAATCTTATCAGCGAATCTGTTAACAGGAAATATCCGTTCGTCTGTTGCGTGATGTGGGATTCAGAAGCTTTGTATTGATGGACAGGTTTATTGGGAGACTTTTTTTTCTTTTTACCGGAAGAGGTGATTGAAAAGCAGGACATTTTCAAAGTTGTATAAAGTGTCATTCACCGACGTCGCATCTGTTCACAACCCGAAGTCAGTCGGTTTCCACTGTTTTTTTTCTTTCTGACTTGTCATTTAAAGCTTTTGGTTTACTAATTCTGAGAGTCAGTTCAATTTTTATCATCCGTGTTCATGATTGTGTGGTTGATTCCGTGTGTTTTTGTACTTGTGCTTAAAATATTATTAATTCCATGGTTTTTTTTTGCAGGTTCTGATTCTGGTGATCACGCGCCAGAAGGGAATCTACTCAACGACACCATTGTTCTCAACGGTCACTCGGGATCAGAGCGAGGAATGGACACTTTTGTGCAACCTCATCGCCTTGGGTCTCAGGAATCCATAAGCAGTGGTGTCTCGCTCGAGTCAAGTGACTCAATACCTAATGATAAAAGTGAGTCAGTTATGTTTCTCGAATGGACTTGCTGCAGTTCTGGGCTGACAGTTTGTCAAAATTGAAATCATTTTTCACGTTTTGGATGATTTTATTTTATTTTATTTATTTTTCATAACGAATAAAACGCATTACACTTGGGGGGTTTTGAGAGAACGGTGTTCTTTTTTAATTTTCTTAATCTTTCTCAGAACTGTAGCTTCGGCCAAAATTTATGTGTTTTTTGCATAAGTATTTTTTCATCAGCTGCCAGCGTTTAGAAACTTGTGCAAAATTCCCCTGTGGATGAATTCAAAACAATCTATGCCAGGTTTCGATGAATTTTTCGGCATACTCAGATATGACTGGATAACTCGGGCCAAAACCATCAGGAAGAGTTCACTTGTCATCATGCTGTGTGCCAAAAAAGAAAGTTTTTAAAAAATATAACCAGAAATTCCAGAAGATGTGAACATGATACTAAGTAACGTATGTACTTTTGCTGTAAAATTGACTGTTCTTTTTTTCTGCTCTCAGAAGATTTTCTACAGATTAAATCATTCGATACGAGGTTCAAACAAAGCAATCAAGGTTTTAGGGCTCTTAAATTGGAAAACAACGGCGTTTTTCCTTCGCGATCCTGTCCGAAAATCAAGTCGAGTATTTTGAGAATAAGTATTAACATTTTCTTTATCCCAAAATCGCTAAATTTTTTGCACGTACTGTATTCAATTTCTTTCGTTGTTTGTGCAGATCTCACTATAGGTCGAAGTAGGCCAGATTTTTGGATCAAGTCAAGGCTGATCCAGATGCAAGGCTTCTGTATTTTATCGAACTTTTGGAAATGAGAAATATTGAAACATCTTGGCAGTGAATACAGTGTTCCAGCGAGTACTTTGGAATTGAGTAGTTTTTTTTTTGCTGTGAAATTGAGAAGTGTTTTTTTCTGTTCTGAGGAGAATATTTTCAGACTCGAATAATTCTATGCGAGGTTGAAAAAAACAATCAAGGTTTCAGTGCTTTCAAGTTGAAATGCTTGATAGGAAAGCTTAATCTCTCCGTCATCGAAGTTTATCTTTCGCGATTTTGTCCAAAAATTTAGTCGAGGATTTTGAGAATAATTTTCCTTTGCAACTTTTATTTTTCCCACAAATGCTGAATGTGTTACTGCATTTACTGTATCTAATTTCTTTCGTTGTTTGTGCAGATCTCACTCTAGGCCGAAGTATGCCAGATTTGGCGATCAAGTCGAGGCTAATTCAAATGCAAGGCAATAGAACCCGTGGGGGCTTGGGTCAAATCCGTGAGTCAGCATTGCCGCAACGAGGAAGACTAGCTGCAGCCGTGGGACGGTTACCAGCACCCAGAATGTCCGCTCTTCCTTTCGCAGCTGGACAACGCACTGCTCCAGCTTACAGGTACACTACAGTACTCTCATATTTCAGCATTTCTTGCATCGAATTACATTGTCCAAGTCACTTGAGGTTCCAGTTTCACCAATGCTGAAGAGACACTGTCCCTTAATGGTAGACACCGAGTGTGAATAAAATGCAGTCCATAAAGTGATGCATTTTTTTTGTTGAATGCTCTTTTGACGCTTTTAGTTGACAGGCCTGTTTTTGGCACACAAAAAATTACTGTACCAAGAATAGGGGTTGGGTTTCCGGCCTCTTTTATGGTTTTTCCTGAAGACTGATGAAGCCTGCTAACAAGCTTGCTTCTAAGCAAGCCAGCTCATTGTACAGTAGGACGCCAAGTAGTTACAGTAAAATCTTCTTACAACAAATTTGTGTGGACTTCAGAAAAAGTTTGTTATATCAAATTCAAAATTATTGACTGGGAAGATTGTTTTAAATTAAACCTGGATATAATCAAAATCTTCCTTTTGTTACCCTATCACGTTTTTTTCATGTTGGAAAAATTGATCTTCAAAAGACATTCAAATGTTGATAAAAAAAGCATTTACTCAAAATAACAGGCAACACTAGCACTTTTTGCAGACAGCAAGTTTTTCTAAGCAATTCCTGCACATATTACTAAGAGTGGATGGTAAAAAAAGCGTACATTTGGGCTTCTGAAGCATCAAAAACCCCTTTCAACATGTGTTTTTCTGGGTTCAAAATTTTCATCTAAACGTTTGAAGAGAGGAAGTTCAGGTGAATTTTTTTGTTGATTCCGCCTGCAATTTATGTCCCAAGAACCAGCCACATTTAAATGACGAATTGGAGACTCTGCCTGCCTTCATTAAGAAAATTTTCATTAGGAAAATTACGACATGTTCCTCAAAAAAAGATTGTACTTGAATTGAAGAGTTCATGTAAAAATCTTTTCATAGCAGGTATAGGATTTCTGCCAAGACTTGGAAAAAATTATGTTGTGCAGGAAACATTGTTGCAATGGTATTCGTTTTAGCAAGATTTCACTTTATTTACAGCTGTTTTTCTTTTGCGAACATTTTAAAATATATAGTTTTATTTTTCAGGAGCGATACAAAGTTGAATGAAGTTCCGAGACTCGCGAGGCCGTCACTGGCGATGAATGGTCGGTTGCCTAGGCCGCAGTCGGGCATTGCCCGAGGCGGTTTGCCGCAGCCCAAGACGATGACCAGACCTGCAATGCCCGTGGAACCAGAGCCTCAGCATTTCCAACCTCCGCCCCAGCGTCCAGCACCAGCAAGAGGTCTTGTGGCCCCAAACGACAAATATGCCACATTCAGAAAGCCTTCGTCTGCTTTCTCGCAAGTGAGTTTTGTGAGCAGTTGCGCGGAATTATTTAAATAAGGAAAATGTGACATTGTGATTTGAAGAGTGGTTGATGAGGCCCTGAGGGAATTTAAGGGATGCGGAGAGTTACCAGAAATTGTGAAGGCGCGCTTGATACCGTAATTACGCGAACATGAGTACCCCTTTTTTCAATTTTCGAAGCTCAAAAACTGACGGGGTGCTTATGTTTGCACATTTGGAACATTCACCCTTACAAATCTTTGCTGGAATTGCTTAAAAAAACTTAGTGAAGAAAGTGTTCTAGTATTTACCTGTAATTCACAGTATATGTTTTTTATTTACAATTACATTTCTTCTGAAAAGGCCATAAAAGGAAGATGTTGAATATATGCAGGTCTAATTTTAAGAAAATCTTCCAATCAGTCAATAATTTTCAAAATCTTCTAAAAAAATTACTTGCTACGACAAACTTTTTCTGAAGTCCCCACAAGTTTGTTCAAACAAGATTTTACTGTAAAAGGACCCAAATCCTCCCTTTTACTTCAGTGGTAAAAAAAACCCTCTGAAAGGAGCAGAGTATGTTGTAGGTAAATATATGCAAAGTTGTATAATTTATTGAGAAGAGAATACAGTACAGTAAAAGCAAAGTCCAAAGAGATTGTTGCATTTCCACTTAATTTCACCTTAGTAATAAGTGTACTATGTTTGGGACGCACCTGGACAAAAAGGGAGCAAATCTAAAATGAATTAATAAGTCTGCACTGTCTGTAATCTCCATAAGATTTGGTGACAGAGAGATTTAGTCTCTGCAACATAAATCTTTGGTGTCAGACAAGAGATGCAACTTGCGTAAATGTGTGTCTAGAAGGAAATTTTCCTTTTTGCACATGAGAATTGAGCACTTTTATTCTTCAATACTTTTGGAATTGAAGTTGAAAATAATCAATGAATGGTCAGCGTTTAGTACTTCAACATGTATGAGTCATTGTCTGAAGGGGAAGAGCAAGGGTTTTGTGATGCTGTTTTTCCTTTTTTGGGGGGGGGGGAACCTGAGTTCAGTGAGACCTTTTAGATTCCAGGAAAGTTAGTATGGCTGCTTATATTTTTCTTTGAATGGACTTGATTTTTTGCATGGAAAATTTAGAGGGTGCATCAACTGGCATTATAAATTTGAATGCAGTTCGTGATTTTTTTTTCATTTCTCGTATTCCAAATTATTTGATGATTGCAAATTTTTTTGTGTGTGAGCAGAATGGCGCAGTACCGAGCCTGAACACGACTGTGAATATTTCAAACGCGGAATCCGCGTTGCCAACTCGGGGATCGCTCATGCCTAGACCCGGAGCACCCAGACCCAGCAAACTTCCCGGCCCAGGTGCAAGATTTGCCAAACCTCCTTTGCAAAGGTGAAAAAAAGATAAGCTCGCACGGATTTAAAGAAATTCTGCACGCGGCGTGGAATTATTTTTCCGACTTTTTTTTTTTTTGGATGTTCTTATAGATTTGCATGCGTTGCACTGATGTATCACCGTTCATTTTTTTTGTCGAATTACAATACTCGGTCTTCGTCCAACATTTTTTCCTATTTCTTGTTTTTTTTTTAGTGTTTTTTCACCAGCATGAATCATATTTTGCTTTTTTTTGGTTGCCCATTTATTTGTAGGTTTTTTTACGTCTTGAGTACGGTTCTTCCCTGGATTGTTTCCGGATTTAGGAGTGTGGTTTTATTTTTTTGTAGAGCCCGGAATGGGCCCCCGGAAAGCGTGCTGCAAACACGGGTTTCTTGTGCCACGAACCTTGTTTTTCCCTCCCCCTTGTTTGTTGATCTTCGTAGAATTCGGCTGATTTCTTGGTTGACCTAGAACCTCACGAGGGGCCGAGTATCCTTGGTGCGTGTGATCACCAGTCGTTTTTCGTAGATCATTATGGGTGGCGATTTACGTGGCATTTTCCAAAATTTTCCCGGACTTGCGTATAAATCGTCTGTGCATTTTGGAATTGAAAAAAAAAAAGATTCCTCAACATAATTCTTGACCTCTTGACAATTTTTGCTCACTTCGATGCGCTCTTCGTCGATGGATCAAGCACCAGCAATTCAGATGAAGAATACGTTATTTTTTTTGATAGATGATTTAAAGTTTGAATTATTGTTCCGTAAGTTTTGGTTGAGTCGAAGCACCAAAAAGTTCAGGCGAAGATTGTGGAGGTTTTTTGTGATTTAGCTGATGTCAAGATTGAATTATTTTTTCGAAAGCTTCGGATGATTCGAAGTACCGAGAATTACAAACTGAGAATATGTGCTTTTTCGCAATACGTGATTTGAAGTATGAAGTTATTTTTTCGACAGTTTTGGTTGAGGCGACGAAGAAAATGTGCTTTTCTTGTAATAGTTTATTTGAAGTTGGAATTAATTTTTTTTCAAGTTTTGGAAACTTTCGTCAGCTTTGGAAACTGCTTGTTGTGGGACAAAGTCAGTTAAATTTGGCGGGTGTCTGAAATTACAGTATTGATTACCAAGTCAATAATGAATATTGCATTTATATTGGATCAGTGATGTGATGCGAAATTATAGACAGTCGAAGTAAATTCGTTCTTCAATAAAATTACAACCATTTTGTAATAGTTTAGTGCAGTGTTACCCATTTTTGGGCCTAGAAACCGGCAAATTTATATAAAATTGGCGAAGTTTCAAAAAATGTTTGCAGACTCAAAAAGTTGTGTTTGGAAGACTGTATGGCGGGTATATACAAAATTCTTTTTTCTTTGTTGCAAAAAATAAGTGAAATAAATTCCAATGAAGCAGCTGTAATGAAAAGTCTTCAAAAAATTGGAAAGCTGGGCATGAAGAAAGGTTTCTCAGAATGAAAAATTTTAATAATTATTTTGGCAGGTGAAAATTTTTATGGAGCATCATTACGAGAAAAGCCAAGTTTCATTTTTCGTCAGATAATTTCAACTGCCATTGTGTTACTGAAATTTCAGATAAAGATAACAGACTTCATTGCTACTTTTGATGAATTTATTATGCTGAATGCAATTTTTTGCAGACTGGTTGGGGAACACTGATTTTGCGGGTAAAATTGAGCCTGGTCTATCGAAAATGAACTTCTCAACACTGCTTTCATGGTATTCTGCATCAGAATTTATTCAAAAAGCGAGTGTCGAGCTCCGTCGTTGTAAGAGTGGATTTCACCTCTCGAGTTTAAAAAAAACGATTTTATTATTTATTTTAATTTTTTGTTGTTGAAGAAACTGCCTGTGATTTGAATGCGCAAGTCTCATCATTTCGGAAAGTGCCTGCGTATTTCGGACTGGGGTTTTTCCTCTTTTTGTGCTAATTTTTGGTCAATTCGGGTCGCGGCAGTTCGATTGACGTGAACGGGACGTTCCGAGTGGATGCAACGAGGAAGCAGAGACCGCCTTTGCATATCCCGCGATGGGACGAAGACTGTTACTGAAAGACTGCCTGATCAGTGAGTGAGTCTCTCTGGGAAATCTCGGGGGACGAAGGGCTTCCTTTCACTTCCGTCTGAGAGCGAAAATTCTTTCCACTTACCTACAACCCCATCCTTCTTGTCAAAAGGATTTCAATTGTTATTTATTATCGGAAATGCTGAATTTTTACAAGAGGTCTCCGAGCCGACCCGGAAGGAAATTCAGAGCATTTTCGAGGTCCAGTGATGAAACGAAAGGTTGAAGATTTTCTCGGTCCTGATTCTGTGTCGGCAGTTTCTGTAACGCACTTCTATCTTTGCTTGCGTCAAGTGGAAGGAATTTTTCGTTCATGAAATTTACGAAATCTTATGGAAATCAGTGGATGTTTTGCTGTGGAAATATTTTTTGCTTCACTGTCCGAGAGAAAGGGGAATGTTTTCGTATGCAGTCGAAGAAAAGTTCGCGTCGTCGTTCGAATGGCAAGTGTTGAAGTGTCGCTAATGGCTTTTGTGATTCTTGGAATTTTTTTTTTTACGTGTCAGTGTCGTAATTTCGTCGTGTTTTGTGGCTAAAATTGTTTTTGTGACCGGCTTTCGTTTCGGTTTTTTTTTTGTTGTGCGCGGTGTTTGTTCGTAAAATTGCCGAGGAATCATGTTGAAAAAAAAAAAAACCCCCCGACGTTAAACGGGAATTTGAAAGTTCAAAATTCCGTTGGCTAAAAATGTTTTTCTGTGTTCTACGACTCATTTTGAGTTCATAACTCGTTTATTCCTTCTTTTGTTTTCACGGCTATAATATTAAAAGCAATTATCAAATTCGTTACTTCTGATTCTGAATGATTTTTCGAAAAATCCGAAGCTCAGGATGTACGTCGTCGAGAACGAAAGAAATTACGGCGTTCAAGTTGCAGTTCGATATTTTTTTTTTGAATTTTAAAAAGATTTATCACGTAATTACAAAATTTAGAAAAAAACTGTTTTATAAAGAAATCTAGCTTGATTTTGAGTTTTATTATGATTTTTTCTGACTATCGCCGATGGTAAATCGTGTGGATTTTATGTTACTAAAAAATTTCTGTCATACTGATTTTAAAAGTGCGTTCGAGTTTTGCTGAAGATATTTTCTTGAAATTATTCAGAAGTAAGAAAGACCTGGAAGGCAATATCTCGAATACCAATTTTGCAACTTTTTTTTTTCTCGAAAATTCCTTTGGCTTTAAATTACCGGTTGCATTTAGCTATCGAACAATCAAATGAAAAACGCGCGGATGACCAAATGCTTGAATGAAATTTTGGTCATCTCGGGAATTTCCTTGCAATGAATTTGTAAACGAAGAGAGAGAAAAAAACCTGGTTTCTTTCCTGCTTCTCGCGTGAGAACCATAGAAAGAATTGTGATCGTCGCGTGACCGCTCTTGACATCTCGGCTCTGCTTTTGGTCCCGAAACGGAGCCAGAGATATTTATTTTCGTGCTCCGAAGGCGGGAGGGATCAAAGGCGAGGTAATTTATTCGGTCCCCGAACCATGTGATTAGGAGTTATGCGCACCAGGGTGCGATTATTATATTTTTTTCCCTTGTATTCGCCTGCGCTGTGAATCTTTGTAAATCGAGAAAAGGCTCTTTATTACAACCGATGCGATGTTTTCCGATTTTTTCGTATTATTTTGGGGGGTGTGATGTTCAGTGAAAAGTGCTTGGATTCGTTGTCGTGATTTTAATTGGAAGTTCAACTCCCCGAAATCTCTTTCATAAGTCCGTGTATCGAAGAGGACATTTTGAACTTGAATGTGATCTAGTCTCTTGGACATTGAATTTATTCCGCTTTTTGCAGCTTATAGGTCTGAAACCGACGAGTCCGAAGTACAGTGTGACCCCGAGATGCGGACGTAATTGGTGTATCAAGAGTGTACTGATGTTGGAATGTCCCCAAGTTGAGTTTTGTTTTCCCTTAGAATCCAATACTGTATTAATGTATTTTATTGGTTCTCCATTTTGTCAAGAATTAGAAATAAGCCCTCAAAAAATTCAATAAGAATTGTTTCCATCAACCTCAAGTTTTCAAAAATAACAGTGCAGAACAAAACCTCATAGAATTGGATCTTTTGTTATCAGAATGAGATCAAAAAGCTAAGAAAATGAATAAGTCTTGCTAGAATATGCACAGATGATGAAAAAATGAAGAAAATAAGCTTGAATTTGATGATGAATTAGAGTGAATCCATCTTGAAATATTTTTCAATTCTTCTGAATTTAAGTGGCTTGATTCTTTCTTCAAAAGATATCAATATTAAAATATAAAACTTTTTTGGGAAAATTTCAGAGAAGTGTCCCTAACTTGAGCCAATGTGTGGATGTTGGGACTGGTTTTTTTGGTCATCAAGTGTCCCTAAGTGAAATTGTCCATATTTTGTGGTGTCTGCATAATGGGGTCTCACTGTAACCTGATTTCTCTGGAAAGGGAATTTCTGTGCATGTGCATATGTACAGTACAGTGGGCCCCCATCTTACGTCATCAATCCGTTCCAGGATGGATGTCATAACATGGGGCCATCTTAAGTTGAAACCCTATTTCCCTTAAGGTTACATTATGAAAAAATTAATTCGTTCCAGAAAAAAAATGTTAAACTAAAATTACCATTATATTTCAACTTTTTCTCAGAAATTGCATTAATAGACACAAGACATGTTTGAAAGACTGTATAAAACAAAAGTGATAGGGGGTAGGGTAGTGAAATAGGGTAGGAGGAGAATGATTTTCAAAATTTTGAACACTTCTCACAACTTTTTTTCTCATCTTCTTTACTCCTTTCTTTTTTCACTTGGATAGTTATAACTTTTCAAACTTTCTTAGGTGCCATCTCAAGAGATGGAGGGCTTGGTTCACACAAACTTTTTTTCTCATCTTCTTTACTCTTTTCTTTTTTCACTTGGATAGTTATAACTTTTCAAACTTTCTTAGGTGCCATCTCAAGAGATGGAGGGCTTGGTTCACACACTTGAAATTTGAAATGCCTGGAATAAACATTTAGTTAAGTTTTAAAATTGTAAGAATGGATAATTTTCTGGCAAATTATTAAATTCCTCCTAAACAAAATTATTCAGGTATAATGAAATGCACAGGGCAGTACAGAGCGCACAAAATTCAAAATCCCTCCTCAACACAGTTATTCAGCAATAATTGGCACGCAAAAAACTCACTTCCTCCCAGGAAAACCAGTGGTGCATGCATGGTGAAAAAAAAAAACGGTTGGTGGGAGGGAGCTGAAGAACCTCAGAAGCTGCCGTATCATGAAACCCCGACATAAGTCGAGGGTTTTTTTATTATAAAAAATCGTCGTATGTTGAAACCGACGTAACATGGGCCCGTCGTAAGTCGGGGGCCCACTGTACTGTACCTTCATATGTTGTATCTGTTGTCAAGTCCTTGTCTGAGTTCCCAAAGAAACAAACTCTTCAAAAACCTCTCAAAGTCAAAGACTTTCTGTCAGCCAAAATGCGTTCAGACAATTTTAGTATCATTTTATTGACACAGGAAAGAGAGGAGCAATGAAAATGTAACAATGTGTTTGGAAGGGAAGTGAATGACCAATTTTGCCAATGAACCCTTGCTGCCAAGTTCAGCATTGTGTCAACTCATTCAAGTTGCAATTTAAGGCCCAGATTATCAACAGTTACAATTTTCTGTGATTTTTCTTTCTTTCCCACAGAAAAATGATTTTTTCTCTAGCTTGAAACCTGTATAACTCAAATTTTTTTGTTGGTCTCTCAAGGTTTGACTAGAAGAGGTATGACTGCATCATATATGGAACTAGTGCAATGATAAATTTCAGAGCTTTCAGAATTGAGTTATGCTAAAATATCGATTTTTCTCCCTAGATTTTTCATGTAAAAGAGCATTACGGTATTCCGGATTGCAAGAACTGATGTGATCCAAAATTTGTAGTTATTATGCTTCTGACCGGTTTGATGTGAGATGTTTTGACGAATTTCATAAGTTCAGGATCACGTTTTGCTCAGTAAGATACAAGATTAATGCAGTGTAAGGATTTTGCGAACTGAATGAAATCTGACTCGAGACAATCTTCGATTGTCTTCTCCAAATCTTCGTTTGACAAGGAATTTTGATGCCGAAAGCTCCTTCACGTGAGATACAATTCCTAATTCCAGAGATTTTGTAATCAACCAAAATATCTCGTGTCTACAGAGCATCTCGCTTCGGTTTCCTTCGTTTAAATTACGTATAGTCAAACCTCGATAAAAATGAGTTACGTCAGCAAATTGTTTATTCAAATCCTGATTTTTTTCGAGAAACTCCCTCAAAAATCACCTGATCCTGCGTGTAAGTGACCGGCGTTTCCGAACATTCGTTTTTGCATCGTTGAAGACCATGACGAGTCAAATTCTCATCTGTGTAAATGGCGAAGCTCGCATAATATCAGGCACTTCATAATTTAGAAAAAATGTCTTCACCTCATATTTACAGGGGGCAAAACTGCGCAAGATTCACGAAATCATCGAATGACACGCGTCTCATCACGAAATGCATGACATTCGCGCCTGTCTTGAAATCATCTTTTATTGCCAAAGAATACTATGCAGTACTGTATACCGGTATCTGTTATTACCGTATTCGCTGCTATTGTGCTGCTCCTGTTTTTACGCAGCCTGACGTCGCATTGAAATTTCCCACGGCAAGACAACAATAGGCTCAATAGCGGTATATAGGTGTGGCACGGGATCTATGAATGATGAGCTTTTGTCTCGAAAGTTCAACTGAAATTCGTCGCATGAAATTGGATGCTTCTGTGCACAGTATAAAAACTGGTGAAACAATACCAAAAACAGCATCGCAGAACTCAAACCGTTTCCCTTGTGTCTGCGGCTGACTCAAATAAGAAATCTTAGAGATTCATCTCACAACTTGATCGTGAGTTGCTCAGGGTTGGTTCTTATTGTGCCCTATAGAGTTCCAATTATTAGGCATATTTTCTAATACAGTACTGCTGTATATTCAACGGAGCATAACACAACACATACTCATGTAAGCACTGTATTTTTTATTCCTGTGGACACCTTTGTTTCCCTTGCAGGATTGATCACTTAGGGTTCGTTTTACGCGCCTTTCGTACGTTATCGTCAGGATGATCCAGTAAAAAAGATGGAAAAGATAGTTGAACAATATTGCAGCCGTGCATGTACAATTGTTAGCCGAAGCATCGGCGATTTTAGCGTAACCTGCAAGATTTGATCCATAGAATGTATATAAGCAAGGTTTAATTTCTGAGATACATCCCGAGATGTCGATTATATATACCATCACATATATATATGACGTTCGGCTTACCGTGGGAATAATCGGATAATTTAAACGGGATGTAAGGTACTTATGTGCCTAAAAGTCTCCATCATTAATTATGTACTGTAGTTCTGTTTATGGTGTAAAATACGGCATAAGATTTTTTGGGCACCATGTAATCACCTCCACATAGCGAAATCAAGATTGAACAATGCAGCATATATGAAGGATGCAGGGATTCAGAATGGCACCCATCATGCGTTAGTATAGTTGAATTTGCACGACATAGCACAGCTCAATGAAAAGTTGATGATTTCAGTACCGATGCAAGGTTTTAATCATCACAGCCATCACAAACCAGCTTGTCCTACAGCATTAATCAATTTGCAAACTCATTATAATACATTCATACAATAGTCAAAACAAAAAAAAACACTCTTGAACACATCTCAAGACGTGCTTGAGACCGTGGGGCACTTTTCACTTGGTTCCTGGCAACTTCTCGCAGTCATGGTTAAAAAAAAAAAAAAAAAAAAAACGTGTCAAGCATGAACACCTACTGCAGAGATGATGGATCAGCATCACTCAACGCATTTTCAACGCTCTCACGAGCTTTCTCCACACTTGGTAAACGAATTCGTCCCACTTGCCATTTTCCAATTCCACGTGAGTCACGAAATGAGGTGTGACTTGGGAATCTTTTCCGGACCTCAACCAATGCCGCATGGCTTGCAAGTCCATGCTGTAACGGAGGTTCATGGAAAAGTGTGGCACATCGGCGGCATGGGCCAGCATGCCAGTGACGTACACGTCATCTATCCAAAAAGAAGGCACTCTGATGGATGACCTGTACATGTCTCTAGCGGCATCTAGCGTGACTAAGTAGGCAAAGCCTGCGCAGTATGTCGGATAGGTGTCGTTGCTAAACTCCAGTGTTGTGACTGACCATTTCCCCGCGCTTCTTCGTACCTGAAGGAAATTAAAAAAAACACGTACAATCAAATATTCGATATGACCAAAGATTGTTTCATACAGATTCAATCATATATATCAAATGAATTGCTTTACAGTATTTGGAATTTTTTGGGAAGTTATGTTAATTGTTTTCCAAAAAGTTGCTGTCCATATTTTGAGTTCAAGTTTCTTTGTCATGAAATTCCACCATTTTAAAGAAAAACAAGTTTCCTAAAAATAAAAAGTAAAAATTGTACCCGAACGAGTTTCAGAGGATGATTTACTCATTTAGTTCATAAAATATTCATAGCGACAAGTTTATGCTAATTTTCACAAGAATGGGTTCCCTGTTAATCCGACAATATGCGGGAGAAAATGCATAAGAAATTCGAATAGTGTTGATTGAAGCAGAAATATTGAT